GACCACCGTTGGTTGGGTTTGGAGATTCAGGTGTCTTATGCTAGTAGTGGCTAATATAGCCTCGAGCAGAGGGGAGGAGCTACAGAGGTCTGGTAAGCTCACCTCTTTCTAACTCCACACGCCCAGATATTTTATTTTCAAACTTGTAGTCTTCAACCCACGCTGACTCAAGTGAAATCACATGAGGCAATTTACCAAACATCACACAGCTCCCTCTGGAGCTACAAAATACTTTGTACAAATTCTTTCACATACGCAGGCGGCTCGCCCTAAAAGCTATAAACAGACTTTGATGTGTAAAGTTGGTGGAGTCCCCCTTAATCATCAGCATGCAGAATGTTGCAATGATAAATGGCAGCAGATGAAACACTCCTAGGTACAGCCCAAAAATGTTTAATAAGAACTGGGTAGGGCGGCGCTCGGCCTTGCTTTCTATTTTGCTCACTGGCCACTTGCGTTATTGCAGTGAAAAATTGTCCAGCAGCCCAAAAAGCATTTCCATAATAGGCCACCATTGGAAAAACGAGATGTCTAAAACTGTTAAGAGGACACCTCTAACTGCAAGTAAGGTCAATTATGACTCTTTCTATTATAAATGTTTGAGCCATGGAGGTTTTTATATTTGTTAAACATTCCTCGAGCCGAGAAAAGCTGTTTTACTTTCATCACAATGTAAAGTCTATGGGCCGAGCAGGAATTCGTGGGCGGGGCCAGCAGGAGGACTAGTGTGCATGTTCACTGGGCTGCATACCCCCAAAGGTAAATTCTGAAGCTAAGAACATTTTTTGCCAGATGCCCCAGGGGAGCGATTCTCATTGTATTGACAAGGCGTATGCACTTACTAATAATAATACGGCGATGGTACAGCCCCATCCCCTTCCTCCGCCTTCTGTAGCGGACGCACACAGCAAAGTCTCATTTTTCCCTACAGGGAGGAGAAAGCCATCTAATATGACTATGATAAATAGCGTAATAATAAAACTGTCTTTAATAGCTTGTGTAGTCCTAGCTAAATGTGAATAAAATACTTTCATTATCTTCTATTCCTGAGCAGCTGTCGATTCAAGCAGGAGGAGGAGGAGACTGAGTGTGTCTGGAAATTCCAGGAAGGGGGAGATTTGTTCCAGGCAACTAAGTGAAATCTCAGCAGCTGGTTTATATCAATCATGAGATACTTTATCTCTACTTTATCTTGTGCTATGAGGAAATATACTTCGTACTTATTGTTCTCTTAAGGGGGGTTTGCATAAATGACAAATTTAGTCTAGTCTAGACAAATTTAGTTTAAATCTTAAATTCTAAGCTACTGTTTGTTCCGGTTTATTTGACTACGGTAAAAAGCTGAAACAATTCAGTGGAACAAGAGTGTGTGATTAACTGCTTGTTCTTGTCTTATGATGAAAACTATGAAAACTGAACATCTTTGGGTTTTAGACTGTTGGTCAGACAAAACAAGCTATTTGAAAACGTCACCTTGGGCTCTAGGACATTTCAGACCGGTTAAAGGGTTAATCACTTAATCAAGATTATTCATCAGATTATGTAATAATAAAAATTGTTGTTAGCTACTTCCCTCTTATGGTCCATCAGAATGAACATTTGATATTCAGTTTTTTTTCCCAGCAACAATGCCAACCATTCTCTAATATTCAACTTCTCAAATGAGAGGAGCTTTTCTTCGACATCTATGACAGTAAACACAATATCTTTGGGTTCTGGGCTGTCGGATAAAACAAAATTTATAGGCAGCATTGTGGGCTCTGTCAAATTATAACACACTTGCATGTGATATACACTCTCACAAAAGTGAGTACACCCCTCACAGTTTTGTAAGTATTTGATTATATGTTTTCATGTGACAACACTGAAGAAATGACACTTTGCTACAATGTAAAGTAGTGAGTGTGCAGTTTGTACAAAACCGCTGGCAACAGAATGAGTACACCCCTAAATGAAAATGTCCAAATTGGGCCCAAAGTGTCATTATTTTGTGTGGCCACCATTATTTTCCAGCACTGCCTCAACCCTCTTGGGCATGGAGTTCACCAGAGCTTCACAGGTTGCCACTGGAGTCCTCTTCTACTCCTCCATGACGACATCAAGGAGCTGGTGGATGTTGGAGACCTTGCGCTCCTCCACCTTCTGTTTGAGGATGCCCCACAGATGCTCAGTAGGGTTTAGGTCTGGAGACATGCTCGGCCAGTCCATCACCTTTGCCTTCAGCTTCTTTCAAGGCAGTGGTCGTCTTGGAGGTGTGTTATCATGTTGGAATACTGCCCTGTGGCCCAGTCTCCGCAGGGAGGGGATCATGCTCTGCTTCAGTACATCACAGGACATGCTGGCTTTCATGCTTCCCTCAATGAACTAGAGCTCCCCAGTGCCGGCAGCACTCATGCAGCCCCAGACCAGGACACTCCCACCACCATGCTTGACTGTAGGAAAGACACATTTGTCTTTGTACTCCTCGCCTGGTTGCCACCACACACGCTTGACACCATCTGAACCACATAAGTTTGTCTTGGTGTCATCAGACCACAGGACATGGTTCCAGTGATCCATGTCTGCTTGTCTTCAGCAAACTGTTTGCAGGCTTTCTTGTGCATCATCTTTAGGAGAGGCTTCCTTCTGGGACGACAGCCATGCAGACCAGTTTGATGCAGTGTGCAGCGTATGGTCTGAGCACTGACAGGCTGACCCCCCCACCCCTTCAGCTTCTGTAGCAATGCTGGCAGCACTCATACATCTATTTCCCAAAGAACCGCCATGTTCAACTTCCAGTGACCAGTGAGAGTGATAACAACAAATTTAACACACCTGCTCCCATTTCACACCTGAGACCTTGTAACACTAACGAATCACATGACACCGGGGAGTAAAATGGGTTATTGGGCCCAAATTGGACATTTACACTTAGGGGTGTACTCACTTTTGTTGCCAGTGGTTTAGACATTAATGGCTATGTGATGTGTTATTTTGAGGGAAAATTCTTGTTAGTTGTTGTTGTTAGGTTTGATTTTGATGAAGCATACGTAGTTACTGAGTGCCACTCAAGATTACCAACCACACGCAAGTTTCAAGTGGATTTTCATACGTTCTGGGATAAACTGAAAGCAACTGAAAATCGTCAGCAGGGATATAGAGTACAGTTTATGGATTCTGTATTTAGGTGGCCAAAGCATTGCAGACCATCACAATGGCCCTTTTTAAAGCAGCATGCTTTGTGCTCTGTAAAGAGTAAGACTTCACAGGCTAAATTGGGACCCACCTTTATCATGTTTTCCGAGCCTCCCTCTGGCATTATCTCTTGCTTATCTGCCACATTCATTCTCCTCCTCCCTCTGTGCTCCTTCTAAAGACCCTCTCTCCTTTCCTGTTGTTGTTCTCAACCAACTATTTTCTTTCCAGGCCTGTTAATGATTTGTTTTAGGTCTCTCTGGAAATTTCAGCCATGTGCCACATAAAACATACACAACAATAATCTTGAATGTTTTGCGTTTATTCATATTCCTCTTAGCTGGAGGGATTACATTTGTCACAGTGTAAATAAGTGATTGAAAAGCATTTATTCGTGTGTGTGGGGGGGGGTCCAGTCATAACCCTGCCTTCCTCCAGCAGGCTGTGATTACATTAACCTCATGTCTATTGAGTTAAAAAGGATCAGACGCTCTGCTCACTCTGCTCTGTGCTTCGAAATTGTAAAATATATTCAGGCTCCTGCCACCAATGTGTGTAGCTGTGTGAATCTTATGAATAAGAGACCTCAAGATTAGCTCTGAATCTGGGGATCTTCGAAGAGTCTAACGTCTGTAAGCATGACGATGCAGTTTTTGCCATTATTGTTCATCTTTCCTAGTGAAAGATACCAGTGCTTGTTTTCCTCCCTTCATTGCTATTATCCATCCTTATCCAGTATGTTCACAGAGCTAGATAATCCATCACAGCTAACGCAGTCTTGATCTGCCTTTGTTCCATTTTATCAATACTTTATTGTGCCCGGCTGAGTGCTTTCTTTTGGGGCGCCAGGAGCTCTGTCTGTAAGGATAAGGCTTGGAAAATGAGGGTCCCCGGTTCGAATCCAGCTTGGACCAGAGTTGCGGAGCGTGGACTGGTAGCTGGAGAGGTGCCAGTTCACCTCCTGAGCAGCCCCTCACTCTGACATCTCTCTCCATGTGTTGTTGCTACGGGTCCTGTATGTGTATGATACTAACAGAGTGAAAAAACAGAATTTTGGATTTGGATTTATGGATTAATAAAGTATATCTTCTTCTTTTCTAAACTTCTCTTAAAGAAAATTATAAACTTCTAAAGTTTATTTTTACTTAAATCGAATTTCATAGTCAGACATCAGTTCATTTCAGGTTTGACGCAAAAAAAAAAAAATTGCAAATTGGCTCAAAACTGAAGTACAGCTCAGGCTGATGGGAATGTCACTTTTGAACGAACCAAAAGATTGGACAAACTAATATTTTGGGAAGGGATTAAGGGATATAACCAGTTATTTCAGTTTATCCTGCAGCTACCATGACTGTCTATACAACATTTCATAGTAATCCATCCAATTGTTGTTAAGACACTTATGGTGCCCCCCCCCACCCCCACCCCATCTTCTGTCAACAACTACTGAGTGCCTCCTGGTGCCTCTGTCACATTTTCCTTTTTATTATATTTGTCTAACAGCCCTCTCTCCCTCTTCCCGTGTTTTTTTTCCTCCATAGCTCTTTGAACAATATGCCAGTAATGGAAAGTTGAAATCAATGGAGGTTTTCTTTCCCCTAATTGGTTGACATAGCTTGTGATGTAATGACTGATGATGTAAGTCCTGAGCCGAGGTGAATGAAGGGACTGTTTTCCTTCTCGGTCAGGCTGCAGCCGCGTTAAATTGATGTTGTCATGGCTACAAGGGATCAGAGACAGGTTTTTTTTGGGAGGGGGGGGGGGGTGCTTGTCACTACGATCAGTTCAAAGTCTCTAAATCTCTCCTTCTGTCCTCTTCTCCCCAGGTGTTTAATATCCATCCTGCTCCCTCCTGAGTGACCTCCTCCCTCCTCCTTCCTTCCCACCCTTTGACTTTTTGACACCCTAATCCGTGATGTCCTCTCAGGACGCGCCCATTCAGGGGTCACCACCAGTGACCCCCCCACCGGCCTCCGCAGGATCCCCACGTTCTCCACTGTCACCAGGTAAACGTATATATTTTAAGGCACTGAGACTGTTGAGAAAACATGCACTGCTGTATCGTAAGCAGTCTTATAGGGGCACTCCATTGGTTTTACAAGTGAAGATCAGTTCACTACTGAGCCTACAAAAACTGCTGTAGGTGAATCATCTGTGGAAGACCTACAAAATAAGATTGGGCCTGAAACGTTTATTACAGAAAGTCTGCATTACAATCTGGAATGTGGTATTTGAAACCTGTTGGCAATTAACCACTCAGTAAAAATCCAATGAAAGAAGCTATCAACTTGCATCATGGGAAATGTACAGTCCATCAATTTTGGAGCTTATAACAGTTGAATAAAAGTCAGGATACCTCTGCTACTTTTGATTCTGTCCATTTTGTCTCTTGTAAGCCCTACTTACTTAGAGTGAAGCAGGCCCAAGCCCTTGCTTAAGAGCTCCAGGAGCAAACCATTATGATGAGCGGGGGAGTCGAGGAACAAACAGTGCTGATTTTTTTTTTTTTTTTTTTTGTGAGTGTATGTGTTATTGATTTATTAATCCAACGAAGGTTAAAATGAACTGACTGGCAGGGGAACTCAGCTATTTAACCTCAGTGGGGTCGTTGGCCCGGGTCATCGATACCGCTGGTTCGTTAGTGTTCCTTGTTGCTGTGACGACAGTCGTTACAGTCGTTAAGACTACCTGTGGCCAAGACTGAACGACCATCGTTGGTATCGTCACCTGAGGCCAATAGGCCTCAGTCAGAACTGAAGAAGTCCTTTGGATGAGGGACGAAACGTCTTCCAGTATCTTCAACCAATTCCAGTTGCCCTTGATTTTAACCTTCTATGACCTGGATGACTGAGAATCTTCATAGACAACTTGCTGATTTAATAAGAATTTGTATTTATGGAAATATTGATTCCTTGTGTTGTATTTTTGCATGGTGTTTGTTTTCAGTAAATATTTACAATTTCGTATGCTTGTGGTCCCACCTAAGTTGTGTTGTCCACCTAATTACCTGCAGCACAGAAGGGTGTATAAGGCAGCTAGTTGCTTTCGGTGCAAGTTTTGTTGTGTCTCATGGTGTCTGTATGGAAGATAATTGCCACGATTGTGCTTTGCATTTTACCTCCGCCTCATGTCTCTCTGTGGGAAAACAGAGAGCCGCCGCCGGACCATCGGACATTGTTTTACATTGTTTCCTGGAAGTGTTGAAGTAGAAGTATAGAGCCTACCCAGCGATGTACCATACTGCTGTGTGTCATTTCTCATGATGTAACTAACACAGTTTTTTGTCCCATCAGATTCGCTGCAGCCTCCAGCCTGCAGACACAGAGACCGCTCGCCTTCCCCCATGAGAGGCTACCTCATCCCCAGCCCTCTGCCCACACGCAGAAACAGGACCTGCTCAGCGTGAGGACACACACATGCACATAGACATACACTGTAGAATCACACGGGATGAAACGGACTTGTGCGCAAGTGAAGCGAGTGTAATGTTAGATGCTATGTTTCCAGTATAGTAAGTGAATCTTGTTGAATTCATTAGGTATTGGTAGAAGTTCTGTTGAATCTTGAATCTTGTTAAGGGCAGAACACAAGCTAGTCTAAACCTACTCACTGAAGTTGCACTCATCTCCTAAACGTTCTACTGTTACTAAAAAATATAAAAATAAAACTTTAAGGACTTTTATTGTTATTTGAAATGTAGAAACTAGTACGTTTAAAAACTAACTTACATATCAAATTATGTCTTGTTTACTGTGATATGCCTGCAAGTGTTTGACAGGATCATAATATCTAAATGCACTTGATTTTGGTAGCGGGTGGATTATTTTGGGAGTATTTTGTTGATACGCTGACATAGTTGCACGCTTTTCGTCGCTCACTTTTTTTGTTTCCGCCCTCTCATCCTCCACTTCTATATGTGTCCCTCTGTGCAGGACGGCTCGTGCATCACAGGGTCCGGTGTTCACTGGTGTGTGTAAATGTTTTTCCCGCTCCAAAGGCCATGGCTTCATCACACCATCCGACGGGGGCAAAGACATTTTTGTCCATATCTCAGAGTAAGTGTGTGTGTAGGTGTTCAAGTGTGTGTGTGTGTGTGTGTGTGTGAGGATGACCGTGTTTGTGGATAGGTTGACGTGTATAGTGTGTTCTAATGACTAATCAGGTTGTGTGTAAATCATTTGAAGAGAAAGGCATCAACAGTGTGTGTGTGTGTGTGTGTGTGTGCGTGTAAAACAGAGTGGTTCAGTGACGCTGATCTGTGGGTGAAATTTGAGCTGTGTGTTTTCCTCATTGTCTGATGAGGTGTGTGAGAGGGCTGCTTTGTTTTTAATCACCGGCATCAAACAATGTCAGGGTCTGTGTAGGAGTAGATGGAAACACACACACAGAGGAATGACAGGAGCTGCAGGAGTGTGTAGGAGGACTGGATACAGAAAATCAGATGACCTTCATCACCAAGGTGCCTTTTATTATTACCCACAGGCTTAAAACACATAGACGTCAGCAGTGTATACTGCACATGCGCGCGCACACACACACACACATAAAACACAGCAGCACAATGCATTCTGCAGAACAGGACGCAATAAAATCCCTTCAAGAGTCTGTTTGCATCCTTGCTCCTCTCTGGCCCAAAGGAAGGTGACTGAGAATTCCCCAATTTCACGGCAATCAAGCCTCTGTTTGTGTCGTGTTTTAACCTTACAGTCGTCTTTTTGTCATGCTGTCATAGGTGTCCAGTATTTATGGCTCCTCCCATTATTAGGTCTGTATGTCGAGTGCCTCTCTAGATAGTTGGCTGGTATTATTCTTGGTGGAGATGATGGTGGTCTTGTTAAGTTACGTTTCTCTTGTTGCTATTGTTACTGTTATTGTGATTAGTGGACTGTTATATTGGCGATTTTACTCAGTATCACGTTTACATTTGAAGGGTTCATTGACTTTAATCTGTATTCCGGAAAGTGTTGCGGCATACTCTGATTGGTGGTTTTTCCTGGGTGAGAGCCTTCATCCTGTGTCTGTGTGTATGTATGTAATAAGTCTTGTAGAAAGCGGGTTTTACCTCCAGAGCAGCAGTAAGTGGTGTTAAATGATCCTCTGGGTTTTTCAAAGATCACCAGGTATTTCATTTTAGGACGAGAGGCAGAAACTGGTGTGAATGGCAGTCACATGAGTCAAATGGGCAATTTAAAGGTTAGTTTGGATTTTTGAAGTGCGGTAGTATGAGGTACTTATCCGTAGTCAGTGTACTACCTACAGTAGCTAGATGGCGGTCGGCACACCCCCAGTTTGGAGTAGAACACAGGAGTTCCTGGTCTACGGCTGCCTCGACTGGGTAGTTTGTGTTATTGTGTTTTAAAGGGTTAGTCTGGTTTTGTTTCTCAGCTGGCAAAAGAAACCACTTCACTATCAGTACTTTAACTTTATGTGAACATGTTAGCGGTTGAACCACATAAACCATGTTTGACGTACAGATTTCACTTTGCAAAGCTCAGCTGCTTTAACATGCCTTGCTGCTGTTGGCTGGAAAATAAAAGTCCCCCCCCCCCTCTCCTACCCACCCACCTGTGGTGGCACTGCAGTATTACTTTTCTCCCTTAAACAAAACAGAGTTTCTTTTTTGGAATTCAAGTGAAATATGGTGGCAGATGTCTGCATGTCGGGTAAAGCAGAAGAATAACTAATTGATTTCTCTCTCCTGCAGCATCGAGGGCGAGTATGTGCCAGTGGAAGGCGACGAGGTGAGCTACAAAGTGTGCTCCATCCCTCCCAAATATGAGAAGGTCCAAGCGGTGGAGGTGACCATAACCCATCTCAAACCGGGAACTAAACATGAGACCTGGGCTGGACACATCATCAGCAGCTGAACGCTAACCCACTAGAGGGGCAGGCTGGGTCAAAGAGGCCAAGGCGGGTGGGAAGGGTGATACAGAAGAATTTGGGGCAGTGGTGTGTGGGTGTGTGTGTGGAAGGGTTAACAGGGAGTACTGGATGATCGGATTGGGAGAATTGCTGGAACATGAGTACTTATATTTTGGGGTAAATAAATAGGTGATTACAGTGGAAGAGATGTTTATCACAGACTTATGACATTAAGGTTTCATGTTTAGATTTTTAGATCACATGTGATGAGATTTGGTGCATTGTTTGAAATTGTACTTTGTTCAATGAGGACATTAATTTCAGCTGCAATTATTACTAATGTGGGGAGTGTTCTAGAACAGTTGCAGGACGAGCACACGTGCGACATTGTCCAGCACCATGGGATTGTTTTCCAGGTATACTGTGTGTGCCTACTTCTACCCAGAGAACTGACCGCTCTGTTTGTGCCTACTTATACCAATCTATCATCTGTATTCGATCGTGTTGGGTGGGTATTTGAATGAATTAAAGCATTCTTAACCAATACATCCTAATGCATTCTGTGTTTTTGTGCAAACTGATTTGAGTTGGAGTCTGAAACAAAATATGCATCATTGTGAACAAGTGTTTCCTACAGTGGTGAACAGGGTTGGTATTTATAAATCTCTGTCTTAAGAATGGTCCTAAACTTCTACTTTGTCAAATATTCTTAGTAAGAAGTAGAACATAGTTTAGTATAAATAAGCTAAAAGTAAATTTCACCAATATCTAATTACTACAGCCAATAATGGGCTTCCAAAGGTGACGTGTCACATCAGTCATCATCACATATCAATATGTGCTGTATATACAGTACCAGTTAAAAGTTGGCTCACACTTTCCCATCTAGTGGTTTTTCATTCTATTATTTATATATTGTTGAAAGAACACATACGGAATTATGTAGTAAAATAAAAAGAAACAAACCAGAGTGTGTTTATATATTAGATTCTTCCAAGTTAACCACTCTTTGCTTCGATGAAAGCTTTGCACATTCTGGGCAATCTCACAATCACTTGGAATGGTTTTCCCACAGTCTTGAAGGAGATGAGGAGCCAGCTGCAAAAGCTGCCTTCACTTGAGGCAGTTCATCAGACTTCACACAGCTCCCTCCTGAGACAGTAAAGGCTTTATACATCTTTTTTCACACATGCTGTGTGTGTGTGTGTGTAAAATTGTTGCAGTTCGCTTTTAGTAAATGTTTACTGGCAAGGTTTTATATTTACTTTCAGACTCGCAGAACTCTTGTCTTTGGCAGCTCAGCTATTACATTAGATATTATACATTTTACAATTGATGTAAATGTGCTTAATGTGAAGGTTGGGAACAATCACACAAATGTGTGATTATTTGATCGTATTCATGCTGAATCCATCATCATGAACTCTTGTTATGAGAATTCATGATGCTAGTGTGTATATTTGGACGTGAGTGTGTTATTGCACATTATCAAAGGAACATTTATGTATGGCACCTATTCTTAATTCCAAAATGTGTATGAGCTGCTTCACACATACCAGCCCAGATCACTGACAGAAGAGTGGAAACATGATTCATTTATTAGTCAATATTTTGAAAAGGTGAATTACAGGTAATATGAGCTTATGCATGCCACTTTGTTACAAACATGTGATAATTTTAATCAATCCTGTCATATGTTTGATGAGGTGGATTTGTCATGACAGCCACTGATAAATCTCAATCTGCTGTCCTCCTCTGTCCAATGTGTCTACTGCAGCTTGACACAAAGTTCAGAGGTCATACTGTAGGAGTGTCATTTTAATCAGCATTAAATTTAATAATAGAAATGGCGAATAAATAAGTGTCATATTTTAGGACTGATATTGACATGATAGTGATATTGTGAAATTGGCAAGTAAAGTTCTTCAATTTAGGGTCACTGGAGCCATCTTAGGCCATGGTTTAAGCCAACACCTGCTTGCCCTTAGCTTTGGTATATGTATCCGCTTCTGCATTTGCTCTTACAGCAACATTAGAGGGGGTTGATTGTAAAGCTACATTGCTTGCATCATTGAAAGCTGGACTTTATTGAGAAAAGACCACATTTGTACTTAAGTTAGAAATGAATTTGTCTTTGTTTTAAAATAATGTATATTAATATGTGCAGATAATTATCAATTGCCTAAATACTAACATAAATACCATTATAAATAATAATCTATATAAATATCTGTATTCCCACTGAGAAATGTGGATTATTATTAAACTTCATGTTGGCCCTTTTTTCCCCCGAATTTCTTTAGATTACTTTATTTTGAAACTATCTCACAGGAAGTACATATATCATCACGTTCGACTTGGTAAGACAGGGTACACGCAACACCTTAACCAGCTTTTTATAAATACAGTAATAAACAGTGGGACATCAATGTGACTGTAGCTGATCGCTAAATGTAATATTTATTGCAATTTTACTGACAGGCTATCTGTATTAGCCATGAATTTAAATAGTGCTGTAGTTTCTCACTGTGACCACTCGAGGGCAGTGAACACTCATGAATACACTCAGGTTAAAAGTCAACAGTCAAGGCAGACATAATACCACGATAAAACGATACTGCCGTTTCCGGTGAAAATATTTCATAAAACAATTTTTCCTCTGGTTTAAAAACGGTCTGCACCTTTGTAGCAGGCGACGTGGTTCTCAAATTCTTCACGTAAGTGCAATTTTGATGCTACTTTACTTGAGTATTTCCATTTTCGTCTGCTTTCTCCTTCTCAATTCAATTCAATTCAATTTTATTTATTTATCACCAAATCACAACAACAGTTATCTCACAGCGCTTTTCATAAAAGAGCAGGTCTAGACCGTAGTCAGTGATGCTATTTACAGAAGCCCAACAGTTCCCACCAAGAGCAAGCACTAGGCGACAGAGGCAAGGAAAAACTTGCTTTTAAGAGGCAGAAACCTCGAGCAGAACCATGGCTCAGGGTGGGCGGCCATCTGCCTCGACCGGTTGGGGGTGAAGGAGAGAGAGAGAGGGATGGAAGGCAGCCTACACAATATACACACAGAGGTACAGACAGTAAAGGTGATGTTGTTACAGACTGAATGAAAAATGGTACAGATATTTATAGCAGTATTAATGATAATAATCGTAATGTTAATGATTATATAACAATAGGACTAGTACCAATAATTGTAGCAGAGAGTGTCGAGCAGGAACACGGGGGCAGCAGGTGACCCGCAACCACAGATCCAGACTCCACAGCTCCAGAGCCAGAAACACCTGCAGGAAGTGATAGGAGAGAGGAGAGGGACGAGAAAGCACAAAACTACCGGAAAGGGGAGAAGTCGAGTTAGTAACATGTATTAATGGGATGAGGTTGCATACAGAGGGAGAGAAAGAAGAGGAGAGAGGAGCTCAGTGCATCATGGGAAGTCCCCCGGCAGTCTAGGCCTATAGCAGCATAACTAAGGGATGGTTCAGGACTCACCTGAGCCAGCCCTAACTATAAGCTTTATCAAAGAGGAAAGTCTTAAGCCTAACCACAAGTAACCCTGCATTCTGGTAGCGCAGTGCTCTGGTGGGGTAGTAAGGTACTATGAGCTCTTTAAGATAAGATGGTGCTGGCCATTAAGAGCTTTGTAGGTAAGAAGAATGATTTTAAATTCTATTCTGGATTTTACTGGAAGCCAATGCAGAGAAGCTAAAACAGGAGAAATGTGATCTCTTTTCCTGGTTCCTGTCAGAACACGTGCTGCAGCATTCTGGATCAGCTGAAGAGTCTTAATGGACTTTTTAGAGCAGCCTGATAATAAAGAATTGCAGTAATCCAGCCTAGAAGTAACAAATGCATGGACTAGTTTTTCTGCATCATTTTTAGACAGGATGTTCCTGATTTTTGCAATATTATGTGCTTCATGTGAGACTTAAACGACATGTCCTGATCAAAGATAACTCCATGATTCCTCACGGTGGTGCTGGAGGCCAGGGCGATGCCATCAAGGGAAACTAAATCTTTAGATAATGCGTCACGGAGGTGCTTAGGCCCCAGAACAATAACTTCAGTTTTATCTGAGTTTAACATTAGAAAATTACAGGTCATCCAGGTTTTAACATACTGAAGGCACATAATATTGCCTAAAGGAAGCATATATAAAGTGAAGAGGATTGGTCCGAGGACAGATCCTTGTGGAACTCCATGACTAACTTTGGCATGCATGGAGGACTCATCGTTAACGTGTACAAACTGAGATCGATCTGATAAATAGGACTTAAACCAGCTGAGAACGGTTCCTTTAATGCCAATGAAATGTTCCAGTCTCTGCAATAGGATCTGATGGTCAATGGTATCAAATGCAGCACTAAGATCTAATAAAACCAGTACAGAGTCCTTTGTCTGATGCAATTAGGAGGTCGTTAGTAATTTTCACCAGTGCTGTCTCTGTGCTATGATGAGCTGACTGAAAATCCTTCTATAAACTATTGCTCTGTAGAAAGTCACAGAGCCAGGATCTTAGAGAGAAATGGAAGGTTAGATATAGGTCTATAGTTGGCTAAAACATCCGGATCAAGTTTGGGCTTTTTCAGAAGAGGTTTAATTACAGCTACTTTAAAGTACTGTGGTACATAGCCTGTTGGTAGAGATAGATTGATCATATCTAGTAGAGAAGTGCTGACTAAGGGTAGAACATCTTTAAGCAACCTAGTCGGGATGGGGTCTAAAAGGCAGGTTGATGATTTAGATGAAGAAATTATTGAGGTTAGTTGGTAAAGATTGAGGGAAGGAAAGCAGTCTAAACATATATCTGGTTTTACAGCTGTTTCTAAGGTTCCTGAGTTAATAGTTAGAATTTTATCATTAAAGAAGCTCATGAAGTCGTAACTACTGAGAGCTATGGGAATACTTGGCTCAATAGAGCTGTGACTCTCTGTCAGCCTGGCTACAGTGCTGAAAAGAAACCTGGGGTTGTTCCTGTTTTCCTCCATTAATGATGAGTAGTACGCTGCTCTGGCACTACGGAGGGCCTTACTATAAGTTTTAAGACTATCTTGCCAAATTAAACGAGAATTTTCCAGTTTCCAAGATATTTGCTTTAATTTGTGAGTTTCAGTATTATACCATGGAGCTAACCGTCTTTGTTTTAGTATTTTCTTTTTTAGAGGGGCTACAGAGTCATTCGCAGTGAGCCTGCAGCACTATCAACAAGATCGATTTGGGAGGGACTGAAATTACTATAGGAGTCCTCCGTTACTTTGTGACTTGATAATGAATTTAGAGCTGATGGAATCGACAGACAGACGTCTTGTATAAAACTTTTTGCACAATGGCGTGTAGTTCAGCTATACAAACTCAAAAGTTATCAAACATTGGTCAGATAAAAAGGGATTCTGTGGGACACTATTAAATGTTCAATTTCAATACCATATACCAAAACAAGGTCGAGGGTGTGGTTAAACAGTGAGTCAGTTCATGAACACTCTGAGAGAAGCCAATTGAATCTAAAAGAGAGATAAACGCAGTACTAAAGCTGTCATTCTCAATGTCCCCTACAATAATAACTTTGTCTGTTTTAAGGACTAAAGTTGACAAAAATTCAGAGTACGGACCAGGTGCTCGGTACACTATAACAAAAAGAATTGGTTGCAGTGATTTCCAACTTGGGTGTGAAAGACTAAGAACAAGGCTTTCAAAAGAGTTATAATTTAGTTTAGGTTTAGAGTCGATTAGTAGGCTAGAGTCGCTGCGATTACAGCTGTAAGTCGCTTGGGGTACGTCTCTATCAGTTTTGCACATTGAGAGACTGAAATTTTTGCCCATTCCTCCTTGCAAAACAGCTCGAGCTCAGTGAGGATGGATGGAGAGCGTTTGTGAACAGCAGTTTTCAGTTCTTTCCACAGATTCTCGATTGGATTCAGGTCTGGACTTTGACTTGGCCATTCTAACACCTGGAAATGTTTATTTGTGAACCATTCCAGTGTAGATTTTGCTTTATGTTTTGGATCATTGTCTTGTTGGAAGAAAAATCTCCGTCCCAGTCTCAGGTCTTTTGCAGACTCCATCAGGTTTTCTTCCAGAATGGTCCTGTATTTGGCTCCATCCATCTTCCCATCAATTTTAACCATCTTCCCTGTCCCTGCTGAAGAAAAGCAGGCCCAAACCATGATGCTGCCACCACCATGTTTGACAGTGGGGATGGTGTGTTCAGGGTGATGAGCTGTGTTGCCTTTACGCCAAACATAACGCTTTGCATTGTTGCCAAAAAGTTTGATTTTGGTTTCATCTGACCAGAGCACCTTCTTCCACATGTTTGGTGTGTCTCCCAGATCTCTGCAGTTCATCCAGAGTGATCATGGGCCTCTTGGCTGCATCTCTGATCAGTCTTCTCCTTGTATGAGCTGAAAGTTTAGAGGGACGGCCGGGTCTTCGTAGATTTACAGTGGTCTGATACTCCTTCCATTTCAATATTATCGCTTGCACAGTGCTCCTTGGGATGTTTAAAGCTTGGGAAATCTTTTTGTATCCAAATCCGGCTTTAAACTTCTCCACAACAGTATCTCGTACCTGCCTGGTGTGTTCCTTGTTCTTCATGATGCTCTCTGTGCTTTAAACGGACAAGATCCGCCAGTCATCAGATACCCTGCTGGTATAATAAACTGGCCAAAGGAGGAGATAGAGGCCACTGACATCAAGACAAGAAAGCTCCTCACAATGCATGGAGTGTTTCACCCCAATCCAGCACCCTGAGACTGTACACCAAGCGTAGCGAGGGAGGTCGAGGGCTAGTGAGTGTCAAGACCACTGTCCAGGATGAAACAACAAAGATACAGGAGTACATCTGGAAGATGGCCCCCAAAGATGAAGGGCTAAGTGAATACCTCAGGCAGCAGAAACCCGAGGGTGAGGACAAGGAAGATGAAAAATCTTCATGGAGGGACAAGCCGCTGCACAGCATGGACCACAGACAAATAGAAGAAGTGGCTGATATCAAGACATCCGACCATTGGCTGGAAAAGGCTGGACTGAAGGACAGCACAGAAGCACTAATCATGGCAGCACAAGAACAGGCACTCAGTACAAGATCAATAAAGGCTGGGGTCGACCACACCAGGCAGGACTCCAGGTGCAGACTGTGCAAGGATGCCCCTGAGACAGTACAGCACATAACAGCAGGGTGTAAGATGGATTCAGGAAGTGCCTACATGGAACGCCATAACCAGGTAGCTGGCATAGTGTACAGGAACATCTGCCATGAGTATGGACTGGAAGTCCCAAGGTCAACATGGAAGACAACTCCTAAGGTAGTTGAGAAGGACTGAGATAAGATGCTGTGGGACTTCAAGATCCAGACTGACAAACTGGTGATGGCTAACCAACCAGACATCAGCAGAAGAAGGCTGCAGTGATAGATGTGGCAATCCCAAGCGACAGCAACATCAAGAAGAAGGAACACGAGAAGCTTGAGAAATACCAAGGGCTGAAAGAGGAGCTAGAAAAGATGTGGAGAGTAAAAGCAACAGTGCCAGTAGTGATCGGAGCACTGGGAGCCGTGACCCCCAGACTGAGAGAGTGGCTATAGTGACACATACAATCCTGCAAAGGGGTGAGAGGGGGATTTTTTTTTATTTTAATTTTAGTTTTTTTTATATACTGTATTGTGTATCAGAACTTAGTTTTTTCTACTTTGCATCACCAGTAATCACCTCACGGCTCCTCATATTTGTCTTGTGACCCTTGAGGAGGGGGCCTGAGTCTTATGTTGAGAACCCTGGACTGAACTAGCTACCTGTATATAAAGTAATTAAAACTAGCTCCACCTCAAGACGCAACATGCTGCTCTAACATTGATGCTGATCAACAACCTGATAATGTCAGATAATATATCTGTCATTTTCTGCAGAACAAAGACAATTAGGCTTTTATTTTTGATACTTTAACTATCTACTTAAGTAGGATTTTGAATGCATTACTTGTTATAAAGGGTTGTTGACATTGTTGTATTTTTACTTTTAGGATCCGAATTGTACTTCTCCCATCTCTTGAGATTTTTCCCTTGCTACTTAAGTGAAATTCAGCTGTACCACATTAGTGTAGGACTACTTATTGACTGCAGCAGGCCTATACTGGTGTAGTTTAGTACATTGCTTGGTCAGCAGAGGTCGCTGAATCTCCATGTTGTAGAGTAACGGAAAAGCGTTTTGCACTGGGCTGTAATTCTTCCAAACTGATTGTAAAAGTCAGCCAGATACCAAAACAGGTAACCAGTGAAGTCAGTTAAAACAGCGAGTCAGAGGATGCTTATAAGAGGCAGTCGGCTGTTGCTTGATGTTCAAATTCCTTAATGCCAATAAAGGGCATCCTTTAATCAGAGGTCAAATGTTAAAATAATGCTCAATCTGCATCTGCTGAGCGTGAACGTCTAATAACCCTGGTGGGAAAGAGGGAGAGTAGAGGGGGAAAACAGAAAAGGGAGGAGAGGGATGAGGGAAAGGACGCAGGAGAGAAGGGGTGCGGAGGAGAGGGAGAGAGATGGAGGAAAATGATGGGGGGGGGGGGGGAGGGAGGAGCGGAGGGGAGGCTGGCGCTCAGTCTGTTCGCTCGCAGGAGGAATCAGCAGCAGCAGGACAATGGACTGTCTCCGCCACGGATCCTAACGGGCACCGGGCTGTCTCCGACACACTGGAATATAAGGTATGGTGGACTTCAGCGACGCGGGGCGCAGATGGTCTCAGAGTTGGCAGGGTTGAAATCTGCTTAAAAATCTGCCTTTCGTCTGTGAAAGAGGAGAGGCTGCAGGAAGGAAGCGACGCAGCGTAGCAGACAGACACCCAGCAGGGCCTGTCGTCCGTCCGCCTCAGGGTCCAAAACCGGCCGGTGACACGCTAACGCGGGCACAACTATACCTGCTCACTGTTAGTGTTCGTATGTGTTGAACTTTACGTAATAAATCACATCAGAAAAAAAACACACATCCGGAATACCCGAGCTGTGATCTCCCTTCTCCAGAAAGAACGTCACGCCGAACTCCTTTACCAATCGTGTTATTTTAAGTTCCCGTGCTGACATGCTGAAGAAAACGCCTCCGAGGGTGTGAATTAAGATTACCTTGGATTCCTCGATGTCTTCAGGCGAATTCGGCGTATGAGTGATTTACCAAACCCCCTTTAATTCACATTAAAAATCTAATCTTAAAGAGCGAGCACAGTGCTGTCGCCTTCCGCTAAACGTGTATTTGAAGGGAAGGGAAAGGAAAGAAGGCGATAACACGCAAACCACAAATAAGAGTTGGCCATGTAACGGTAGTAAACGTTACTCTGTGTGTATACACGCCGAATTAATGAGTGGCTCGTAGTGATTCGCAATCGCTGTTAAATCATACCTGGCTACGACACATTCAGCTCCTGAAGCAACGTCACAATAAAGACTATGTTTTTCCATTGAAGCTCTGAGCTAGCAGCATATGTCGGGTATGCCAACAAAGCTTCTCTCTAGCCAGCAGGAGCAGCAGCAGGAGCATGCAGTGTGTGTCTGCCAGAATGAACCTTTGCACTAGGCCAGGCCGGGGAGTCTCCTCCACAGATGCAGGGATTGTGGCGTGAATAGATGGAGTCATTGTAGTTGCCATAATGTGCCTTCTGTTGGACATTGTGTGCGTGACGCACGTAGACACGCATTGATACTGATATTGTACCGACGCGGAGAGACTTAAAGACTTAGTTATTACTCATGTCTGAACGGGCAGCATATTAACGTTACCATGTCACTGTAGAAGCATCTACATCAGTGGCTGCAGTGTTTGTCTCATAGACTGTGTTGACCATGTTGAATATGCACACACACACCACACAAAACACAAAGACATATGTGACTGGTTACAGAGTCCTCAGTGTGACAGTGTATGGTGAGACAAGGTCAATTTCACCATACTAACAACCCACACACATCACACATGTCATTTGGGAAAACACAGGCCATGCTGTTTGTGTTGGAGCCTGTATTTAGTGAAAGGAGGGGCTGTTCTCCCATCAATTGATTATAAATCATTAGTCATTTATATGCAGAGGATTATTGATGCAGGCAGGCAGCGGTTTTGCTGTGATGTTTTTATTTTAGATTGTATTGACCTGACTGAGACTGTGTGTGTGTGTGTGTGTGTTTGTGTGTGTGTTCGTAGGAGGAGGACGATAGCTCTGGGTAAATACAGTACTCTGGAATCTAGTTACAAAATAGAAAAAAAAGCCAGTATGGACAAAAGTGATTATAGAGAAGTGGAGGATCAGAGGAACTGAGACAAATCAATGACATTAATGTTCACGACTGGGGGATGAACCAACATCTGTTTTTGCAAAATGACAAATTGATTTAAAAATGAATTAGATTAGTTTATGTAAGACCCATGTTGTAATAAGCATTAATTATCCTCTGACTCTGCACTGTTTAGGTTGTTTTTGGCCAGGTAAGAGTGAGATGCCACTGACCAAGTAAGATGTGTGAAAATGTCTGAAACATCTTCAGATGGGACAACCAAAGTGCATTCAGGAGTGAGACCAAATGACAGGAAGCAACCCCCAAACCACAAGGGATTAGGGGTAGCGGGAGACAGATGTTGGTCTTGGAAAGACGGGGGAATGTAAAACTAAATCTGCGCTGATGCTTGTACTGTATTAACCTATTGTTTTTTTCTTAACTGGTAGCAACATCAACAAAGGAGAGATGAATAGTCATGCTGAGATGGAGTTATGGAGACTGGAGTCAGATTTTGGTTGTCTGTGTTGTGCATTTCAGGTTACTCAATGTCAGGAGTGTGTTTACCAGTTAGACCAGGAGCCACCAGATTCGTCTTAACAATAACAGGAAAACGTCCAAGAGCTCTGTGTGTGTGCGCGCGCGCGTGTGTGTGTGTGTGTGTGTGTTTCTTGAGGCGTGTGTTAAGGTTATTTGCTTTACATTGGATTTGCTCACTTAAGTTCACATGATCAGTATGTGAGAATCTACTATTTGGCAAGACTGTCACAAGACAAACTGTGGTCGCTGTGTGTGTGTGTGTGTGTGTGTGAGCTTGTCCCACTGTGTCAGCTGTGCCATCTGGAGTCAGTGTGAGGCGAGGCAGGAACATACATTTCCTATATTCCCCATATGCCTGTCAGCAATGTTTACAACAGTATTTATTTTATTTTTTAGTTTATTGTCAAGTTTTTTCCTCCCTAAAAAAGTTTCGTTCAGATGCTTGTCGCAGCATATCGTTGCGAGGTGTGTGCACTAGTAGCTACAGTACTGTGAGGGATGAATGGAGGTTCGTGTGCCAACAGAAACCGTCCAGTAGTTTTTAGGAAGCTCTGACAGTTTGAAAGTGAAAGTTTAAAATGGTGCTAAAATCTATCGGCAACTGTTTGATAATTGATATGGAATTCTTGTCATTTTTCAAGCAAAAATGTCAACCATTTCCTGGTTATAGAAATTATTTGCTTTGTCTTATATGACTTATCTTTTGGGTGATCCCCAGACTTTTTCTCTCCTGCCACCATGAGTTTGAGGTTTGAGTTTAAATTAGTCCAATTATTTTTGACCATGATGTGCAGAATGCCTCAGCTGTACTTTGTGTTTAGGGCTAATTAGCAAATCTTAGCATGCTAATTTCTTAAACTCAGATGATGAATTTGGTTATAGTAGCATGCTAAAAGCCTGTTAGCATGCTGACGTTAGCGTTTAGCTCAAAGCACTGGTGTGCTTAAGTACAGCCGAGAGCTGGCTGTAGCATGGCTGTAGACGTTTTCTTCAAACAAATCATCAGTTAGTCGGGGTGGAGTATTTGACTAATGTCAAAGAAACATATTACAAGACAACAATGTAAGTGAGCCAAGTACTTCAGATTGTGTTGTTTTGTGGTGGGGAGTGTTGAATCAAATGAAGTACATGTTGCATCATTGTGACAATGTAACTTAAAAGTCAGTATGAATCTTCACACCTCGGCTGTGAATTTTCACACAAATCCCACAGACTGAGTCTGTTGGAAAAATTAGACGTGCCTCTGATCCACATTTGATTAAGTAATCGTCTGAGTAGCAAAACCCATTTCTTTTTAACCTTTAAATTGGTGATAGTTATTATGGTTATTCCACACAAATGAACTAGAATTTTAAGTTGCAATTGTTATTATTACCACTGCAGAGTTACCATCCCACTAGTGCTCCACTTGAAAATATGTTTATTCATTTTCTTGGCCAATTTGAGATGAGAAGATTGATACCACTCTCATGTCTGTCTGCTGAATATGTAGCTAGCACAGAAACTGGAAATGAGATAACAGCTAGCTGATGCTGAAGCCCATTATATCTGGAGTCTTGTCACCACCATTAGCCTGCCAGGCAACCAGTGAAGACTGCTACTATAGCCAAAAGAAATCCTGGCACAGATGTCTTCATAAAACCACGACATGCTTTTTTTTACAGATATAACTAAGACATATAATGTAAGTGTTAATACAAGAGCTAGAAGTGCTCGCAGGGATTTTTTACCTCTGGACAGAGCCAGTCTAGTTGCTTCGACTCATTTTAAGCTAAGCTTACTGGTTGGTGGTTGTAGCTTCAGGAAGGAAGCTGAAAGGAGCCATAGTTGCTGCTATTTTTCTAATAATCACTTAATTACCAAATCATCATGATGAAATAAACATTTTATTGAGACGTCTAAATAACTTGGTGAGATTTATTTTGTTGCCACAAACTGTGATCACCCTGTTGAAATTTGCTCTCCGTTTGATTGTTTATTTTTATTTTTTGAGGTTTTTCTTTTTTAGGTTTATGATATTAAGTGAAACAAATTGAATAATTGTGTGTGTTACACAACTTTGGTCTCATTGCTGTTGTTTTTATTGTCGTAAGGTGCAGAACAGGAAATCAAAACCTGATGAAAACATCAGACATTATTGTAGCACAGATCAGACAGGACAAACTGCAAATGCAATCAGCCAGTAAATTAGATTGTTATCATCAGCAAACAGTTTGAAATCTGGGGTCCACAGGGGCGTTCTGTATTCTCACGCTGACTTTGTCACAAAGTAAGTTTGGCATTTAGAGCAGCCGCATGAAGACACACATGACATGTGAGGTCACAGTGCATCATCATTTTAATTGGATTATTTTGATGGCTGCTGGAGCGCCATGTGGGTGTTATGAAATACACAGTGAAGCAGTTCTTGTGCTATTTGATGTTTGTCTATGGTTCATTTTCTGCTTATACTGGTGTTTTTTTCTCAAAGTTTTTCTCCCCTGTTTTCTGTTCTACTGCAGATTTATGCTAGGGCTGCAACTAACAGTTATGTTTATTACAGATTAATCTGACATGGATTCTCTGGTTTGATTAATCAATGTATCATAAAAAAAACATTTTTCAATAAAAAACTTCCATAAGACTGAAGCAGCAGAGGTGGAGATAATCTGACTTTTAGTTCAACAGCACTGGATTCTACATTCTGGATTCCTATAATGCAACTCAATGGACTCCATCGTTAGTGGTGTAATTCAGGCTTTCTGTTTGAAGTCTCAAGACACAAACTGCGGAGCCGTGTGGCATGTGGTTCCTCACCACTCTTTCCCTTCATTTTCTCTTAGCTCTCAACTCTCTAAAAGTAACAAAACGTTCCATAAAATGATCACTTAATAAAATGTACTGTTCAAAAACACTGCAGTCATATCAAAGCTGAATGTTATTTTGAATGCAGATTAGGTTAATTAAAGACCAAATATTCACTGGTTGTAGCATCTTAAATATGGGGATTTGCTGCATACTTGGAAATATCATTGTAATTTGAATATCTTTAGGTTTTGGGCTGTAAGTTTGGAAAAACAAGACATTGGAAGACATCACCCAGGCCTTTTGGAACTTGTAATAGACATTTTTCAACTTTTTTCCTGCTTTTCATAAACTGTATGATTAATCGTAATTAATCGACAATTTATTGGTGAAAATAATTGTTTGTCGCAACCGTTCTCTTAATTGCCAACAGAATATATTTTGGACCATAATGAAAAAGTGAAATGTTTTCAAAAATATTAATAATATTATAATAATAATGATTAGTTGAATTGTCATTGTCAGTCACAATGTTAATTGATTAGCCTAAGTGTTTAATCAGAAAATAGGGTAAAATGGCAGAATTTTACCAGAATTTCCAAGGGCATGTGATGGCTCTGGTTTGTCGAACCAACAGTCCAAAATCCACAGTAATATCAAAAAGAGAAGAGCAAAAATAGAAACATTTGAGAAGCTTATACCCACATTTTTACCTGCTAAATGTCTGATAAAAACGGTTATCTAAATTGTTGTTTATTTAGTTTTCTGTTGATCAACTAATCCATTCATTTACTAGTCCTTTCAGCAGTTGCTTTTTACACTTATAAAATATATATTTTGTTTTCAGGTTTACAAAAGCTAGATTGTACATGTTTATTTCTGTTTCATGTCAAGTAGAATACTACTGTTGGTTTGTTAGTTGCATGTCAGACTAAGGAAAGGGGGAAGACAGTGGTTTGGGTTATGGTAACTCACTCTATTGTCATTGATTAAATGTCATAGAAAATGTTTTATCACAAACATAAACCATCAATCTGTCTGTCCGTCTGTGTGATTCAGGAGGTGAATGTCAAACAGCTCCAGGATGCTGCTGCCCTTATCTCTGCTAACCTGCTGTTCACCAGGAGGCATCTGATTTACCAAACATGATGAAGACTGAGCCCCCATCGGCCACGGGGGGCAACGGGACCTCCGGTGGCAGCAGTGGGGGAAGCGGGAGCTCGAACCTACGGAGTCCATCGCCCCACCGCAACGCCTATGAGGCCGGGCTAGCTGCGCTCAAGAAGGCCACCGACCACCTCAATAATGCAGCCAACGGAGCCTCTGGCCCCCCCTCAAAGCCCGCTCCTCTGCCACGCCCAACTGGGAGGGGCCGGAAATATGGATCAAATGTTCACAGAATCAAGAACATGTTCATGCAGATGCAGTCTCCTGGAGATGAGGAGGACGGAGCCAAAATGATTGGTAATTCACTTCTGGTTACATTTTTGTCAAAGCCTTTGGAATAAACTATGTGAGGAGAGAGAGATGATGATGATAAATATTATAATTGTATAATTGTATTGTTATAACGTTTTGTCACCCACTATATGATGATTCTTAAAATTCATTCGTTAAACCTTCCTAGCCATTCCTCAGTCCAGGCTTTTTAAAAACCAAAAACACAAGAGGAAAAATGTAAACAACGGGTTAAACAGTTTGTATCTGCTCTAATGTACGTTTGCCAGACACATGAGTAAGTCCTCATCCTCAAAGCCTTTTCTCATGTAATGATAAAACAGAACTTGTGTGAGCTAAGCATCCAAACAGGGCAATGCCAGAACGAAATAGTCTGATTTTATGTTTTTCCCTATCAAACTTACAATATTAGGACTAACTAGCTCTACACTACAAAGATCAAAGCTGCTCCTTTATTTCTATATTATCTACGTGGATTATCAACGGGTGACAATGCTGACTTTTTGCCCGGGACACGTAGCTTTAGCCTCAGCCTTTTAGCACAATATTAGCTAGCTAGCTATAGCTGATCAAATCACTTTTCAGTGTCATTTCAGCCAATGTTTACTGACAAAAGAATAACAAGTACTATTAGGTGTATTTTAAGTATAATAATGTGTAATGAATGGACAACATATAATAATAATACTGGCCGAGGACCAATTGCTACTCAGAAATCCAAAAGGGCAGGAAGCACAAACAGTCAGTCAATGTTTCTAAATTTCAGCAATTAATTTGGTGAGTACAATGTTTGCATAACTGCTACAAACATGGTCAAAACCATGCCAAAAAGATCCAGGCTGTGTGAAACTGGAACTTCTACTGTAACAAACCTCTCTCTTTCCCTTTTTTGCTCTAAATCAATCTTCCCAATTAGCTTTCCTGTCATTGTCAGGTAAAGAGCAGGCAGTGAAACTGTCCCTGCCGAGGGCATCCAGCCTCAACGAGAACGTCGACCACAGCGCCCTGCTCAAACTTGGGGCCACAGTCTCAGAGAGGGTCAACCGCTTTGACTCTAAGCCAAGCGCGGAGGGTGGAGGCTCCTCTGTGGGCTTCTCTAAGCTCCAGGAGACCAGGAGGATTTTTGAACAGCGGACTCTACAGGTTAGAAAGCACTTTTCTTTTACTTACTTAGGTATTCTGATTCTGATCCAAGAGCATCCGACTGACTGATTATTGTCTCCCACAGGAGAAGCAAGCTGCCACCAACCGGATCTTGCTGAAGAAGGAGCGGGCGTCAGGCTTCCAGGACAGCCGTCTAGATGTTGTGGCTCGCTTTAACGGCTCCACCGAGGCTTTGGACCGGCTGGACGACCCCCCTGTTTCCGCTCCCACTCCCGCTACTATTCCCGCTGTCGCAGCTTCAGTGGGGCCCGGTGACGCCGTCAGCCCAACAGTGAGCCAGCTCAGTGCCGCGTTCGAGAAGGGCGAACTGCAAAACAATCTCTACCTCCCCCAGCGTCGGTCAGGACCTGCCCTAGCACCAAAGCCCAAACCCCCAGCCAGAGCGGAGCCTACCGGAAAGGTGAGAAGATTTTGCTTATTTATAAAAAAAAATACAGGAAATCACAAACTGCAGTTGGAAGCTGATTTAAAGTAAAGTGCATAAACCAAAAAATGAAATGGTTAGATGATCCCTCTTTGTCTTCCTCTCTCTCAGGCGAAGATGTTACCTACAGATAAGGAGGACTGCAAGGAGGTGCCAGCTGGAGCTGTGAGCACCCAGGCAGCAGAGCTAGCAGAAGCGACAGATAGGAGCATAGAAGGAGTGATGGCCAGCGAGGAGAAGGAAGGGTTCGGACAGTCAGGAGACCAGCTCTCCAACTCATCCTACTCCTCATCGTCCTCAGTGGCTGTCACTTCTTCCTCTTCCTCTTCGGAGGTCAAACCGGAGTTGGAGGCCCAGGCCACAGCGACTGAAGCCAGGGGCTCAAGCACAGTGGCTGCCTCAGAGCGGGAGCCACAGGTGGATGAGCAGGACTGCTCCACCGGGGGGTCTGAGGCCGGAGCCAGGCTGGTGCAGGCCGAGGTTCATGCCTCGCTGGAAAATGGAGAAAAACAGCCTTCAAGTTCCTCCCCCTCCCCAGAGGACAAAGGAGCAGACTCTGAGAGGAGGAGGAGCAAGGAAGAGGAGGAGGAGGAGAACGACGAGGATGGCTCAAGGAAGGACGATTACTCAGAGGGGGATCTGGTAGATATCAGTGCGTACAGCGGGCTTGGGGAGGAGGACTCTGGGGGCAGCCAGCTAGACGATGAGGAGGATGAGGAAGATGAGGAGGTGTATCAGCCGGAGACCAGCTGCTCCGAGATCCCGGGCCTCCCTGAGGAAGAAGAGCCCCCGCCCTCCAATAGGAAAATTCGATTTAGCACTGGGCCAATCAAGGTGAGGGACTGTTTGTCAGATGTAATTACTTTTACTTTTCAACACTCGGTCAGACCTTAATGTCTCCTCAGTAGAGCAATGATTTTAAAATGAAAATGATGCCCATCACAAACATCAGTCCATGTCATATCAGCTATGTGGCCGCATCCTGGATCCAGTACTGTCAGTTTTATTCGAGCCAGTACTGAGAGCCCATACGAGGAACTCCTTGAGGCACTCCCTCTTTGACTTCAACACTCCACCAAGGTTGTTTCCAGTTCATTTAATCAAAACTAAAGGTGCTGTAGCCCCAGAAGCAAAGTGTCAGATGAAATCAAATATGCACTATGAAGCTAGTCTTAACCTAGTGGAACGTGAAAGCATTTTAATTTTATTATATTTCATCTGGTTGATAGTGGCACTGGAGGAAAGGCCAAGGTGTCATCAAAAATATATGGATTCATCCTCTGGGGATGATGAATGCCCCAGCACATAGCCTGAAAATCTGACCATTAAAATACCTGATAATGGATCAAAGTGTTGGTTGTGGGGAAAAGTACTACACAAAGACCCCATTCATACCTGGCATTAACATGCAATGTGCATCTGGATATCCTGTCTGGATAAGGAAAAACGTGTGTCAGTGCCAGGTGTGTATGTATGCAGAGCACATTGTGATCAGAATGCGAACATATCGACCAGACCGCATCTGGTGGTGGTCTGGCACACAGTGTGATCACAGATTTAATGTGTCTGATCGCTCTGTCCAACTCAAACAACTGAATGTCACATCCTCCTCCAAAAAATGCTGACTGTAGAATATTTATAACTTTCTGAACCGTCTAAACTAGCTAAAGAAGCAGATATATCAAGTCGAGACCAAAACAATAAAAAGTAGACACTGGAATTAATTTATCAGGGAGCCAGAAACATGACTCAGAATGAATGCTGATATTGCCCCATGTCTTCTGAATATGTAAATAATAGGTAACTGTTTGCCTTCGAACACTTCATAAGCTGATAGTAAGTTGTATTTACAGCTTGTTGCTGCCAAGATAAAAGAGAACAAAAGAAGCTGAATAGGTTTAGTGAAGGCCGTCATAAAGATGTGTGTGTGTGTATCTACTGTTCTCTGGAAACTATAAGAGAAGAAATTTAGACAGTAAGGAAATTATTGAAAAGACTCACTGACTTCCTCCGTCTTTAACGTCATACACACGCACACAAGTTACTGGAGGGATTTTCTCCTTTTGGTTTCGCCACAGTCTTTCCTGCTGACTCTAGCTCAATCTGTCTGTTGAATGTAGATCTTGATTCAACAGAAGCACTTTCTATACCGGAGTGCTCGTTTCTCCCACAACCCCCACCCCCTCACTGCGGTTGAGCTGTGTGGATTGCGAACATGTCTCGGCACGCTGTGATGAAGCGGCCACAACAGCAACATACTTCCTCAGCGAGGGAGATAATTGAGTCGCATACCGTGCAGTGTATTATGATATGCCATGTAAGAGAAGAGGTAAGAACCGGAAATAAGATAACCGCCTTGCTATTGAAACACAGGATGTCTATGCCGAATTTTATGTGTGACAAAGACTGCATAATGGACGATGGCAGTGCTCACTTCGTTGCCACACTCACGCAGTTCTGTATCTACCTCTGTCTCTCCTCTCTGTGAACCATGTGCAACAGACAATAGGATGCATTACCTAATCTCAGTCAACAACAAGACTTTGAAAGACACCTGTCAGTTCTGGCTAGCTAACATGACACATGAAATTCCAGTGAGAAATGGAGGCTAGTATGTAATAAGCTAACCCAGACAAAATCAGTGTTAGTTCTTTCAGGTTAGCAATGTTGAGAGCAAGAAGCCCTTCATTCTGAATCGTACACTACTACATCGTACTAAATAACTTATGAGAACAAATTAAGAACAAAACAGTTAGTGTAGTGTTTCAGGCAAACATTCATATCCACCTTTTAGTAAATTATTTATACAACAGTAAAGATTTATTTTAAACTCCAATCTGTTCACTAAAAGAAAGCTTCCTGTCTGCTTGCACCACCACCACCTCTTCCTACTCGTAAGCCTGTCAGTACGTCAGGGATATGAAGTAAACACACTTGGATTGAAGTGGCAATTCTTATTCTGGTATTTTCTCGGAGTACTGTATGTGACAACACCGATGACTTCTCAGTTCAGTCAAAACCAGAAGAATCAGACCCAGTCATCTCGTTGGAATAAAAACAGACTATAGTCGCTGTCACCCTGTACATCCTTGAAGATGGGTGATATCCTAAAGCACAAAGTATCCAGTATGACAGCATGTTGTGTGAATGAAAGCCTGTGAGAGAATGTGGCATTGTGACTGTCCTGCCTTGTTGGGATTGGAGCCAGTATCTTACATGTTCAGAGAGGTGTTCTGCTGCAGGGAACAAAGCCAGTCGAGCGTCTCACTGCCTGAACATGTTGGGTGTTTTTACTGGTTGGTAATTGTTGTTCTGACATCATCAGTTACTTCATCATGTGAAAGACCCATCAAGAGAGCTTAAACCCCCTTAGGTATTTACTTAGCAAGTCTCCAACCTTGATCTTGAAGCAGAAATGCCATGCGATTATGTCACTGTTCAGAAGCTTACTTCCAAGTTCTGGATGATGTGCTTTGGCACATAGTGAAGGGTAATATGATTAATCTCAGGCTGTAGAAAACTTGTTGTACTGCATCTTACTTTCACTGACACATATTGGATTTGTCTGTGCTGAGCTGTATGAAAGGCTTCCTCTGTAAGTCTGCAAAAAGCAGTTGGAATGTGGCTGGGTGTGTTTGTTTTCCTTGAAAATGCACGCGTGTACACACACACACACACGCACGCAAAGATAGGGAAAGCCGATTGATAAGAAGCACAAAGTGTTGCAGTGTTTGGAAGAAAGGACACCTGGTGTGTGTACTGTAAGTAAAAAGTCATCCTTTTTACAGGGTTTAGGAATGCACCCAATCCTGACTGAAAACATTAAGTGATTGTGGATCCATTGTAGCTGGAAGGTTTGGAGGGGTTGCCAAAGTGAAAGATGCCCAGCACAATTTACTAAATGCCATGGTGACCATCAAATAGTTTATTTTGCCCGACCTAAAGTTCTAAATCCAGAGTTGTTCAGTTTATTGTCACATACAGTTAAACAAATAGAAGCAGCAAATCTGCATTTTTGAGAAACTGGAACTAATGACATAAACAATTAATGAATAATTGAGTTATCGCTTTATTATATTATAAAATGTTAGCATGACAGACATCCTAATATTTCAGATTTTATGTAAAGCAATAGTTTCATATTTTGGGCTTGTTCGCTCTGTTTTTCGAAAATGTAGAAGATCCATACCACTGTCCTGTCTCCTCTGTAAATATGTAGATGGAGCCAGCAGCCGCTTTGCCTAGCTTAGCCTAAAGACTGGAAACAGCTAGCCCTTCTCTCGCCAAAGGTTAACAAAGTCCACCTACCAGCACCTCTAAAGCTCACTTATGAACACATCATGCTGTATCTGTGAAAATGCTGATTTTGCAATTTAACTGGGTTTTATCTGCCAGACTTTTTCTCTGTTTGCAGTCTTTATGCTAAGCTAAGGCTGCACACCTACCCTAGAGATGTGACAGTGGTATCGATCTTCTTATCCAACTTTCATCAAAAAAAACAATAAGCGTATTTTCTATTAAATGACAAACTATTGTGTTACTGTATTATTATTTATATGCAGTTCAGAACTACAGTAGCGTACCACACTTAGCTCTTTTGCATTGTGTCAGTGTTCCCACTGTGCACTGATGTGTTTCATGCCAGTGAAGTCTGAGCCTCTCGTAGCGTCCTCGCCCAATCTTGATCCAGTTACCTGCCTGACATCCAGCTGACTGGAGTGACTAAGGCTAATTCACCCCTCAGCCAATGTGGATTAGCAGTGAGTGATGAGATCCGTGTGTTAGCCTGCTTATGTTTTTAGTTTCAGAGTGTTTTATTACATGTAGCTTTTTGTTTTATTTTATTTATTATTTGTGTTATTTTTAAAGTAATTGTAGAGCAAGCCCAGTGTGGTCGCCATTGGTTGCTGTTGAATATAGCCATGTGGTGTGGATTAATCTGTCCTTTTAGATTTGAATTAAAGGACCTCATGTGGTGCTAAAATCTATTCAGTCATTAGAATAGTCGCAGAGCCTGTGTGCCCAGTTGTCCTGATTACATCCTAATGGACAACACTTTGACTCATGTCGCACATTGTTGTTGCTATTCCTGCTGTTCCTGTCAAAGACGTTACTGCTGCACAGATTTTAGTGTTGTGTTGGTCATTTCAGTAGGTGTGTTGCACGTTAAATGTTGTTGTTGTTCCACCTGTTGACTTTTGTTTCTTTGTGTGTTGTTGTTGTGCTGGTATTTCTGTGGCACAGTAGAGATTGTGTGTTTGTGGTGTGTGCAGGGAGCCCTTTGAAGCTTCATGTACACACTCAGCTTTAAAGTTACTCAGCAGGAAGGAAATGTGACTACAGGAAACAGTTTAACAATCACGCCCTCTGACCCTGTTTGTGTGTGTGTGTGTGTGTGTGTGTGTGTGTGTGTGTGTGCGTGTGCGCCCCAGTCTTGTACATTCAGGGGAATGTAAATAATACTTTCAGCCAGCACCTCCTACACATTAACGCCCTTGGCTCTGTCTCTCTCTGTATGTTGTCTCACACACAGATTAGCATATCTGCCAGTCAGGGACAGAGAGACAGAGAGAGGGTCATTGCCAGTGCCAAACTCACAGCGGGCAAGCCTGTGGTTGCCACGGAAACGAAGCCACGTGATCACAGAGATGGTCATCGGGGAGACAGATGCTGCTGACCTTTCAGAGAGAGGGGAGGGGCATTATAGAGCGTGGAAGAGAGGATGGGGAAATATATGGAGAGGGGGAAAGTGAGAGCGTATTCACACATATTCTGTCCCATGAAAAGGAAAGAAAAGTCTATATATGTTTTTCCGGTATTCTCCTACATAAGCTTCTTTTCTGCGGGTAGTGGAAGATGAGTCAGCTCTGGTGCAAGATTTTATTGTCCAAGTCTACTCTCTCTAAGCTGCTGTGGCTAGAATCAGATGGAGCTGGAGCCTTTTAGCCTCTGGTTGTGTTGCCACATTGACAGTGCTGCTTAATTACAGGCCACTCTTTGGCTAACAAGGGCATGTACAGTATGCTAATGATGTGCAATGAAGAACTATAATTTACATATTTAGCTGACTATTTAAGCAAAGCAACTGTTTTTTGCTATACATGTCAGAGGTTGCGCGCCTCTGGAGCAACTAGGGGATATGTGTCTTGCTCAGGGACACAATGGTGAATGGGAGTTCACCATGTCATATCCACTGCACCATCACCACCCATCACTTTATCTGGGGTATTGGTACAATCAAATATGAAATAAATTGCAATATACACATTGTCATATACCCCCTTAATAATTCAAACGTGGCAACAAAGACTATTTTTAAAGAAATATACATATACTCACATGCCGTGGTTACTAAGCTTTTGATGATATACATGCATAAAAAATGCATTGATACTGTATAAACTCTCCTACATACACTCTGAGATTTACAGACACTCTGTTGCCAGTTTTGAAGGTACACCAAGCTGAAACAAATGCAGCCTAATACAACAGTCGTGCAGTGAAGTCAACCTTCGGGAAGATTACATGTTCACGTTGTAGAGGTGTCACTTTGGAATATGTAGTTTGTGGTGCTGCTGAATTGTATTGCAATGTACTGCGACGTGTTTCTAATATGTTGTCCACCCCATTTATAAATATGTCAGCAGGTAGTCGAGGAGAACTGCACAAAAAAAAAACAATCTTGAAAGTTTGTTTGAAAACCTTTTATTAAAGTAGTTGTTAAATGCATGGATCTGGAAATACTTTGTCCATATGCAAGCTTTCAATTGACATCCTGTTTGATAATGATGGATTTGATACATTTTGATTCATTATATTTGTATTGTGTAATAGATGTTTATGTTTGGAACATCATAAAATCATCATGAACACACGGTCACTGTGGCACGAGGTTCATAGTAGTATCTTAAATTCAGAGGTTATCGAGTAACCAAAAGTACAGTTACAGTGTTTCTCAGGGTAACTTCTGATCACCCCTGTTTCGAGTAACTGTTTAGTGTGGCTGAGCCAGAGGAGGAGGCTTTCTGACCTTTGACCTTTGCTCTGTGTGTAGGTTTTCACCACCTACTCTAACGAAGACTACGATCGGCGTAATGATGACGTTGACCCCATGGCAGCCTCAGCCGAGTACGAGCTGGAGAAAAGAGTCGAGAAGCTGGACCTATTTCCTGTGGAGCTGGAGAAAGGTGCACACACACACACACACTTTCAGTCATTGAGAGTCACTCTGTCAAGCCTCTTATGTAACTACACACTTGTGCGCGTGCACACAATAACTGACAGGGAGCTGTTAGCGGACGTTCACTGTCTGCTAGCAACTCCATTATCTCCTTATGGTATTAAACTTAGCGTGGATTAGCCTAATTAACGGCTAGTAATTCTAAAGGTAATGGATATGAACCAGCAACCATCCTTGATGGCTGCTCTCAGCACTGCTGTAGCAGTAATTCTGACTAGTGTTTCTTTTTAAAGCATAGAATAAGGATAAATATGTTAAATCCAAATATGTTTTTTGCTTTGACTGTTACCTCGTACTTCAGATCGGTTGATGTAACTTCATGGTAATACCAAAACATAAATACATATCATGCCTGATGATAATGATAACAAAAGGAATGGATGGACGAGTATAATTAATGCCAGGAATCACATCTATAAAGAAGTCAGTGTTTTGATATTTACATTATGTCTATCTGTGTGTGTGTGTGTGTGTGTGTGTGTGTGTGTGTGTGTGTGTGTGTGTCTCTCTCTCTCAGACAGTGATGGTTTGGGTATCAGTATCATAGGTATGGGTGCAGGAGCTGATATGGGTCTGGAGAAACTGGGGATCTTTGTTAAAACGGTCACCGAGGGCGGAGCTGCGCAGCGAGACGGCAGGTACCATGTCCTCCTGCCTTTCATGTCTTTATTATGTGTCTCACGAATGGTTTTTATAGAGATTGCTCATGCTCTGTGATCTGTTTTTGGTCAACAAATCTCATGAAAAGACCAAAACCAACAACGCGTCAGTCAGACTCTCAGTACTTCCCCACTGTGTTTGGTGGCTTTCAGCCCCAAGCACATTTGTTCCTGCACAATTCCAGTTTTAACAAAGGCTCAGTAATTTCCTAAAACAGCAGGGCACTGTGGTTGTTACCAAACATTACTCAAACAGGAGGAAATAGTGCAGTTGTTGTGGACTATTTTCAGCTGTGGTTTAATTCACATTTCAATATTTGAGGTATTTTTTTATTATACAGGACAGGATACCATGCTACACCATAGACTATGCTACTGTGCTACAAACACATGATAAATCTGGTTGAAGGCGGAGGTAGGCAAGTTGCCATTACTGTGGTGGCAGCTCACATGTAAACCGGCATATAGCACTGTAATTTATGAAAAGGTTTTCTCTTTTTAAGCACTTTTACCAAGAAAACTCTCCAGAAGATCCTGTAGAAACATTTAATGCCTTCACTGTTTAGTTCCGCTGTACCACTGGCCACATCCAGGTCAGTTCCTAGTCAAAGTGAAAGGTTTATTTATTATGAAATTAACCGTGTCTGTTCGGTGCTTTACCTTTGCCATTGTCAGACATCGCTCTGTTCATTTTCACACACATGGTACATTCTGCTTTTATGTGTGTGTAGGATCCAGGTAAATGATCTGATAGTGGAGGTCGATGGGACCAGCCTGGTCGGCGTCACTCAGAGCCTTGCTGCCTCTGTTCTGCGCAACACCACTGGCACCGTCAGGTTTGTGATTGGTCGGGAGAAGCCGGGGGAGCAGAGTGAAGTGGCTCAGCTGATCCAGCAGACCCTGGAACAGGAGAGATGGCAGCGAGAGATGATGGAGCAGAGATACAAACAGTACATGGAAGAAGATGAAGAGGTACATGCTTACACTAATATAAGAATGTTCCTTTGTGCATCCTGCACACTGCCGCAGCTTTGTCTTTCCGAACGTCACAAAATATGGAAACGTCTCCAAAACCATTCCCATTGGTAAAATGTGCTTGAATACAACAAGACCAAAACGATCTGATCACTCCTCTACCTCCCCAATGTGCATTTATTAACTCAGAACATTTTCACCTAATGTTGCTTTTTCAGCTTATTAGCCTTCATTAGCTGCAGGAAATCAAAAGAGAGAGACAACAAGAGGAGATGAACAGATGAGGAGAGAACCAGAGAAGAGTGTTACATTGTGGTGGTGTGTGTGTGTGTGTGTGTGTGTGTTTGTGTGTGACAAAATGTCCTCTTTGTGCAACCACGTGCCTGTAATTTCCAAATTCAGCCCAGCTTCTCCACCTTGTGGTCACTCAGGGTAACACACGGTTTGGTGTAACAAAAGTAACTATTCCAATACTCCATATATTTTATAGTGCGTATAATACAAGCAAATTACATTTAACTATTGAACATGAATTTAATTTTTCCAGTGGCACTCTCCATATATTATTATGCATCATACTGGGGTCAATGGGAGATTGGGAATTATAGCAACCATACAGTGACTTAGGTTTACCAGGGTGATTAAACTGATGACACAGGTTGCCATGTCAAGATTGTATCCTATATCTGGACATTTAGGGGTTTATAATGACATAAAGAGGAGTTTTAAATTGGACACACATATTACATGTTGGGGGTTTTAGGCTGCTTCTGGTATCTTTTAGACAAAATATTACTCTTTATAGGCAAAAAACTAAAATTAAAGTAATTGTTTGTTTTTTAATATTCAGTAAATACTACAGAGTTTGGTTGGTATTTTGTCTGGAATTTTATATGGAGCTGGCATTCTGTGACGGGAGTTTAGACTTTTGACTTTTGGCTACAGCACGTCATGCATCTGAAAAGGGATTTCCACCACCAACCCGTCTACGCAATTTACCACGTCACACGCACACTTCCTGAACATTTCCAGTGATAACCCAAAGAGACAGAAAATGTCCCAAAAGACTTGGCTCGTGATCTTTCAGAGGCCAGAGGAGCCCAGCATTCAGCAGAGGATATAAATGTAGACAGCAGCGTCCTCTTTGATTTGATGCAGCCTAATAATAAATGCAGTCTGAGAGCTAGCTTGCCTTTGTGTCAGAGTAGAAACGTGTAACCAGAGTTGAAGATACAGTTTGGTCATTAAATCAAAGAGCGAAATATGAAGGGCAATGCTACATTTTAGTTAATGCATTTTTGTCAGCGGTGAAGTTGTTCTCAACCTGGAAAGACATGGTGATCATGAGTTAATGTGAATTTGCTTTGTAATGTAGAAGAAGACAAATGATTAGCAGACTGTTATGGATTGTGTTACTCCTTTTAATGGAAGACAGTTACTGGCAGAGGCTGCATCCAGTTTCAGAGGGTTGAATCTGAAATGTCAGACCGCCAAAAAGAGCTTGCTTCTTTCACTTAATTTGTAATTTCATACTTCTGCGGTCTGCTCCACGCTAGTTGCCATTTATACCATTTGATATGACACATACTCCTCCAAATGAAATTATACAGCAAATTATGAAGAGAGAAAGGCGTGGAACTGGCAGTCTGAACAGACATGAGAATACCACTTATTATGTCACATTATGAAGCTAACACCAGCAGCTGGTTACGTTAGCTAAGCACAAAGACAGGAAACAGAGGGGAACAGCAGGCTGTCTGAAGGTAACAAAATTCGCCTCCTAGCACCTCTAAAGCTCACTTAACGGCTATAACCCCCCTGTAAAACAACAATTTGTCTTCCTCTTCCAGTTTTTGGATAGTTTGAACCAAGAAATGTAGCATGGAAATGAGTGAGTTAGATTTTGATACCTTGTTTGGACAGAACCAGGCTATTTTTCAAGTGTTTAAACAGGTTAAACAACGGAGATATAATGTGTTAATAAGAGTTTTAGTAGGTGGAGTCAGGCTAGCTGTTTCCAGTCTTTAGACTAGGCTAAGCTAAACTAACCAGCTGCTGGCTCCATATTTACCGTACAGAGTTGTATCAGTCTTCTCATCTAACTGTAACAAAACAAATACATGTGATTTTAAACCCGCCCCCACTCTCCCAACACACAGACGCAATATGTAGAAAGTATCGTAAATTTTAACAAATGTAATATTTTTCTTTTTATCCTTCCCCATCTCTTTCTGTTTACCTGCAGACAGGTGAATATGCAACAGACGAGGAGGAGGAGATGAGTCCAGTCTTTCCAAACTCCATTGAGGTTTTCGACCTGGCCGAGAACCAGGACATGTCCCCCGTAGAGCTCGACCCGGAGAAGCTGGCCCACAAATTCAAGGAGGTATATGTGATGTTGACCCTTCGGCTCCTCAAGGTAATTCTTTTACTTGTTGATTCATTTCGCTAATAGTTTATCTGTCAATCTGTCTCTGTCTGCAGCTCCAGATTAAACATGCAGTTACCCAGGCGGAGATCCAGCTGCTGAAGAGGAAGGTGAGACCACTTAATTGTCAGACTCTTCTTAACATGCAGAAATGAAATACATTGCAATGTCTGGGCTATACTGCAGTGGAGAATGTACACTAGCATAACATCAGCTTTTTTGGCTGGCTGAACAATGACTTAACGCTGCATCTACCTCCCACATACCACCTCATCCTGCCACGCTCCCACCCCTTACCTCCAGCTGGCTCATGCGGAGCAGGATAAGTTGCGTTGGCGGATGGAGCGCGCACAGTTGGAGCAAAACATCCGGGACAGTAAAGAGAGGATGGAGAAACTGGAGGGCTACTGGATGGAGGCACAGTCCCTGTGTAAGGTAATTTATGAGAGAATAAACATGAAAAGCAAGGAGACAACTATCTGTCATGAATGGGCAAAGTATTTTATCTCCTCATTTATCAGCTCAGTTGACTAATTAGCTTAGCATCTCCCAAAATTTAGTTGTTTTTACATACTATTGATGTGTGTGTGTGTGTGTGTGTGTGTGTGTATGTGTTTTCAGGCAGTGGATGAACACCTGAAGGAAACCCAAGCCCAGTACCAAACCCTAGAGAGGAAATACAGCAAAGCCAAGAGACTTATTAAAGAGTACCAGCAGAAGTAAGGAAGGAGGAACACATGAAAGGTTTGATAGATGGATTAAAAGACACCTAAACTTTAATGTGTGTGTGTGTGTGCGTTGTAGGGAGATCGAGTACCTGAAGAAGGAGACGGCTCAGCGTCGAGCACAGGAAGAGAGTGATGCAACACACAAAGAAGAGGCGGACAACCTGCAGGAGAAGGTTGGTTGAAATGCTCACCTGAACCACACGGGGCTCAAGTGACACGTTCTGTGTCAGTGGGTCAGCTCTTCACCCAGAAAACATTACTTCTGCCTTGTTTTCCCTTTTTGGAAATGCATCATTGATGCTAATGGGTTCTCCTGTTTTTTTAAGGGTCAATTAAAGCAAATTACTAAAAACACCTATTATTTTCTCGTACCCTTTTTAAAGTGACCAATGAGCCTGCACTAAAAGCTAATGTTGTTGAGTCTTCAATTAAAATTTGACCTTAGCTCAGCATTTGCTACTGATGAACAAGCAATTTTGTTGGATTACATTGAAAACTGGGTTGGAATCAGGGATACGGCATTAAGCTGGTTTTAATGTTGCCGGTCAGCAGTTTCAGTCCTCTTCTTTCTGTCTGGTCAAAGTGTCGCTGAAAGCTCCGCATTTTGAATTACAATGACGGTAGAAGTGTTGTGTTCCCAGAAAACATTAGACTGTCAGTTTTTTCATTATATTATTTTACATTTTTTACATATAAAAAAAAAAAACATTCAATACACGAGACCACATTTTTAATTTTACTGTTATTTTATTTATAGCAGTGCAGGGATTTTTAACTACAGATGGTTTCGAATGGATCATTGTGATGACAAACGCACCCTGTATCAGCCTAGCACACACCCGATGCACTGGGCACTGTGGACTTGACTACGATACGTGACATAGCAATTGGTCTATTTTAAATTAATTTAGTTATCCTCCACTATGATGTTGTGTCCACAGATTACAGACCTGGAGACCAAAGTGGATGCCCTGAAGACCCCCAAACCATCCTAGACTGCTGCTACTTCCTACCTCCTGTCTGTGACTGGAAGAGGAGGAGCCTTCATTCTGACCCGGGCTGTATTTTAATCCAATCAACCATTTACTGCACGGACAGGTAGTGGGGGGAAAAAAGATTAACAAGGATGAGAGGACGAGGAGGGCAACATACAAAGAGGACAAAAGCAACTTCTCATCTGACATCTTGCGGCGGCTTAGAGCTCTGTCAGTCACTAACCACTCCCAGAATGCTCCTTCTATAATACCCAGAATCCTCCTTTTGTGTCTTCCTGGCGACCGGCTTGGTAATCAACATGGAAACCCCATTCAACGACCTGTACTTTATTTATGGATGATCTGTTTTGGTTCCTCCTCTCTTCAGTAACAGTGTGTTACCCAGATTCTGTTATTGATTCAGATTTATTTTAAAAAAGCGCTTTTATTAAACAGGCTTGTCACGAAGTGCTTTATAGAGTGGCAGAGGGCATAAATGCAGAATAAAACAGAACAAAGACGAAAGGACCGACGTCATTTGATTGTTGTTAATCTGCTTTTGAACTAGGTGGTTGCTAAACCATTCCTTTTTTCTTTTTTTTTGTTTGGGACTGGACTGGATTGTGATGAAGAGGTCACACGTGTTTTCTGTGGCGTGGCAGTGATCACTCGATCATGGCCACCTCATTTTTCACCTCAAGACTCGACACAAATTTTGAAGCGGAACCTTGGTAGTAACACGCAACAAAGACTAACTTTGAAAAGGCCACCTGCTGAAAGTTAAGTAATAAAATGATGTTAGACAAATTTCTGATCAGCGACATAAACTGTGAAATAACAGAACGCCCCTCCCCCCAGCCTTTTCTAGCCTAACTCTCTGCAAGCGATGGAAGGAATCGGGCAGAAGCCTGCATTTCAGACCTGAACTGTGGTGGCATACTGTTTGTATATATTCTACACATGTATTTAAAAGTGTTTAAATGGCTTAAGCAATTAAGTGGGTCTGATATCCAAGAGTAGGACAGTGCAAGGAGTGAATGACGTTGTCTTGCTGTGGAGGGCGAAATGGTTCTGTAGTCCGGATTCAGTCTGTTTCATCTCTTTTCTATCAACATCAATGGCAAACAGGGTGTGAATAGTCTAATATGTGCTTTAGTCTAATGGTGTATGTTGGTGTTTAATACAGTATCTGTGGGTTTACATGCACACCAACATCCTGTTCTTCAGGATAGTCATGTGCTACATTCCTGAGTTGGTGCAGGGTTTTCAGAAATCTACTCTTATCCAGGGTCACAAAAAAACGGAATATGCTAATTTGAACATTTCTGAGGCTATTTTGTGTACAGCTTCCACTCACACTCACTGCATAGTTTCACGAACTTAGTCTACATGGTAAACTGAGAATATTCAGTTAATTCCTTTCTTCAGAAACCGCCACGGTTCTTTAAACATTTCTTGGAGGCTGAACTGCTCTAGAAATAATCTCAATTAGTTAAAGTAAACACGCTGTAAGTGGGTGTCAAAACTTCACTGACTGACTGATGCTGGATTTTTGAGTCAGATATTGATATTTTTATTCAGTTTTATTACAAAATGCAAACTAAAGTATGTATTTCTATTAAGGAAACATTTAATTTGGTTATCATAGAACTGAAGAGCTGTAATGGTAGCACTGTTTCCAAATAACAAACATATTTCTAGCATTTCTGAACTATTTCCTCTTATCAGCTAAAATCAACTGATGATATCGGCTTCTGCTGGGAGCAAAGAAAGGCCGTAATAATTTGACTTTTTGATTTAAGCATACCTAATAGTGTGTTAATCAACTGCTACTGCATACTTAATGTTGACATTTAACTAAGTCCAGTCGCTCATCTGAATATTTCGTTCTTGAGTCATGTGACTGACAGGCCATAACCTGATAGGCCAGCTAGATCTGATTGATTCCTTCAGGTTTGACTGATGATCCTCAGCAGCTCGGATGTTCAAGTTTGAATTTTTCATCTTGAATTTTGGTGTCTGAATGCAACCGATATCTTTAAATCAACCTGATTGATTATTATTCTTTTCTTTTTTTCCCTAGTTGAAGTTCAAAGATAAAAACTTGACTGAACTAAATTTGAGTAGAATTTTGTGAATATTGAAAGCCTATGAAAAAGCTTTAAATCAAGTTTTTGAAATTGTACTCTCCTTTTGTACATTTCAAAGGGAATTTAAACCACATAGAGTCAGAAAGATGGTTTTCAAAATAATATACTTCAGTGGTATGTAAATGTAGAATGTAGGTATTCACTAGTGGTTAAATTTAAAAACAAGCTATTCTGTTGCTTATAAAATCCAAATTACTATTGCCTTTCTTTGCTTCCATATTGGCCTGCCAGTATATCAGGCTCTACTAGCTAGTGACGTAGGTTTGCTAGTTAGCCTTTCTGAATGTTTAAGTCTTGTTGTTCTGTATATGCTAATTTAGCCTACTGACATCCTAAAAGCGTAAAATATAATCATCACGAATGAAAAAAGTAAGTCCTTGCCAATTTAAAAAAAAATTGATATCAGTATTTGTCTTTTCAAATCAGCTAATGAAGCCTTGTTATGCTAACGGACTAGTTTGGCCTCTGAGAAATGTTAATACTAGACCTTAACATGGATATGAGCTACAGTGTTATTCAGAAAACTGTGTGCATGTATACACACCCCACATCTCTTGTATTAGGAGATGAGTAGAAGGTCCGAGTGCCAGTATTATGACTTTAATGAGTATAAATGAACGTAAGTTAGTGATACATGCCTGACATGCTCCAAATATGGGTTATAAACAAAAGTCTTGCTGTGGTCATTAAAACTCAGATCGTTTTCAGGAAACAAGAACCACTGGAGGTGCATCAGGTTCATCTTTGTTTTTTCCAAAGTTTCTTCTGTGTTTAGATAAATCAGATAAGTTGCAAGAGATTCAAGCAGCGTGGAAGTTGTTAAAAGAACTTGAAATACTTGAAGCAACCACAGAAATAGTATTGCTTGTCAATCAATATGTGCTCTTTGGGTCAGGTCTTAAAAATATAGGCTCCTCTACCAGTGATGGAAATTTGAGTCACTTACTGTGGATTGTCCTTGAGAGTTTTCAAACAGGCTAATGCAGCAATGTCTTAATTTATCTGTGAAAATAACTATTTAAATTGGCTCTTCAGGACTGAACCTGTCACTCTGTGATTAGAGTACAGTGTCTGTTTATACATTATGATTATATATGTAACTATTCTGATTTGACTATTACCCAGTGATTGAGGAAGACTGTCTAATGTGCCATTTAGGTTCATATTTGCATGTGGATGGTAAAATGGTGCTCAGTATGTTCACACACAAGTAATTTTGCTGCTCTGATGTTGTTACCATGATGATTATTACGAGTTTGTTTATCGTGTTTATCGAGATCAGCTTGCTGGCAAGCTCTGATAAGGTTGCATTCATTTAAAACACTGAACCAGAAAACAAATTGGTCAAGCTTCTTAACCATTTGTGACTTTTTCCCCCTGTTGTAAGATAGAGAGAAGCTCAGTCACAATCCTCATCCTGTTTCACAAAAACAAAAGTATGTTATATTGCTTTAAGCTGTGTTTCATTTAGCCATACTAATTTATCACTTCTCCAGTAAAATGTCTCAACAACTATTTGATGGATTGCCATGAGATTTGGTACACACAATCATGTTCAAGGGTGAATTGTAATAACTTTGTTAATTTAATTTGACAAATACTTTGGTTTAAAAGCAAACTAATGCCATTCCCATCAGCCTCAGCTGATGTTGTTAAACATGCTGAACTAAGATGGTGGAAATGGTAAACTTTAGCCCTGCGAAACCTCATGCATGTTAACATTGTCACTGTGAGCATGTTATCATTAGCATTTAACTCATTTAGGTGCAGCCTTAATAGAGCCAGTGTGGTTGCAGACTCCTAGTCTTCCTAATATTATAAAATATGAAAAGATATTTAGTTTGATTGTCATTTAACTTTCACAAATATGTCTGCTTGTCATGAAAATTCTAATCTAATGTTGTACCTCCAAGCCTGTGATTTGCTAATGGTTCATTGAAGCATGTCACACTGACACATTGATGCATAGTGTGACAGAGCAGCTTCAGAAGAGCAGAGGAGACCAACTTCTTCTGCAGATGTAGTGTAAAAGCGCTTTGAGTGGTCGAAAAGACTAGAAAGGCGCTATACAAGTACGGAGCATTTACATTTACATTACATTTACATTTACATTCTGGTTCAGTGTTTTACAATACCTTTATATGATGACATGCATCTTAAAATAAGGCATTTGCTCTCAGAACTTGTTATGCGCTGACCAATCTGTCCCCATATACTTCACACCCACTCAAATGGCAAGTCCAAGTTTGAGCTGCAGCGTCTGAATACCAGCTCCCAGCCTTGACCTCTGACCTACAGGAAAGGATTATTTCAGTGGGCAAAGTTGCTGTACTGCTCAACTTAAGAACTGTGATGTTCTGTATAAATGTAATGTATTATTTAGTCACCAACCGGAATATGAGAAATGTTAACCAACTGACAAAGGTCGTTTTTCTGTTTGTAAATGTGAGCTACTCTGTGTCTCTCGTGCCCTGGATATATGATGAAATATGTCACATTGTGCTATAGGGCAACTAAACACACACCTCACAACCACAAGAACTGTTTGACTGATGGATGGATTAGATATCATGATAGAATTATGTTTGGATTAGACTCCAAACTCACAGTATACTGTTGATGTTTTCATGTAAGATTTTATCTTGGTTTTTTTTTTTAAAGACACCAAGTATTTGTTCAAAACTTGCAGTATATTTACATTGTAGTCCAGTTGGACAGAACAAGAGTCTTCGAGATGCAGAACATTTTTAAAGGAATGAAAATCAGCCATAAGCAACTCGCTTGAGTATTTGTATTTTTTATTACAGTTTCATCTCTATGTCAAACCAGTGTGAGCTGTACGATGGCTGTTTTATCACCAAATGGAGTCCTGGTCACTTTAGGGTTAAAAAATCTAAACACAGTAAGTGATCACTTTGCCTTGTTATGACTTGTTCTCATTGTTTAACGTGCTGCTTTTGCCTTTTACAAAGCCTTCAGATGTGTGCTAGCTAGCTGTACCGTAGCTGACTATCACAGTTGTTAACAATCATGGCTGCCCATCACTCATGCCTGCATTAAAAAAAAAGCAAAACAAAATCAGTGTGCTGTTACCAGTGTTTAATGAGTGTTTGCCAGTGAGCGCAGTACAGACAAACTGCCAGGTTGGAAGACGGACAGATTGTAGCACCACAGCATTTAACTATTGTTACAGATTGGAGACGGACTCATGCCCTTCTCCACGGCACTTTCCCAGTGTTTTGTCATTATTCCTCATATTTTAAATGGTAATTAAACTCTGCTCTTTCCCCTGCTTCACATTCAGAGAGCTGACCTTCAAACCCGCCCCCCCCCCCCCTCCCCACGGTTGGCTTCTGAGCCGTTCTTCTGGTGCAGGGGAGAGGCTTTAGTGCCTTACTTAAGGATTAAGAGTAATGGGAGTTGAGAGTGGGGAGAGCACGCCTGCCTTTCACCAGGAGAACAGCTGAATGCATTTACAACACTGTAAACAAAGTGTTGTGGCCATTTAAAGCCATCTTTGACACTTCATCCCTTGTGAATAAGATACAATCTTAATTTATTGGGAAGTTTTGGAGCACGTAGACTCATAATTCACCATGTCCAAGGCTTGTGCACTGTGTGTGCACAAAGCATTCAGCGATGCTCTCAGCTTTCCCATTGCCTTCGATGAGCCTCCGGGTCTGACAAGTCCAGTTTGACCTTGACCTTTGGCCTTGTTGATGGACGACGAAGGTCAGATGGGGAAAAACTACCTGAATAGCTTGCAGATTCTGTCCTGTAACCATTGGCAACCAATCTTTAGATACTGTACAGCCAGAGCTGATACAACTAGTAGAACATATGCCTCATGTGTATTATGTAGATCAAGTATAAGCTTGAAACTTTTAAGAAACTAGAGCGGAAAATACTGTGAAAAGGTAAAAAAAAAAAAAAAACATGGTCGTTTTTAAAACTGTTTTTTTTTTGTTGTTGTTGTTGTTGGAATTTTCCATCTGCTTTGTTCTGTTAAACTCCATAGCCCAAATTTCATGGCATTTTGGAGCAATAACAGTCTTCTTTTTTTTAACCCTTTGCTTGACTTCTTCAAATACATTGATGAACTCAGAGAGACGTGTCAGGTGGTAGATGAATGTCCATGGGCGGAGGGGTGCCAAACAGGGTGAAAAGGACAATCGGAAAGTGTATAAGCTGACCTTCGAGTGTATCTTGGATCTGAAATGGATTTCCCGTTCTTTAGTTGATGCCACCACGTTTGTCTGAACCAATAACTGTCTGTCAGCATTAATAAATAAACATAAAATATGTTGAGCAACAAACAAGAGGGGAAATTTGATTTAACTAATTTACTGTTCACTTACTTTGTGTGCCTTTCACCCGATGTCAGCTGGGATTGGCTCCAGCCCCCCGCGACCCTGAACGCAGGATAAGCGGTTGACGATGGATGGATGGATGGATGACTTACTTTGTGTGTGTGTTTACTACCCTACCCAAGCTAGCTGTCCTAATATTTAGAGAGAACAGGAGGAGGAGGAGGAGGTGCAATACAGTGATCTCAACCTGCTGCCTTCAAGGAGGATGTCTATAGGTTATCTAGGCTTCACTCTCTGGAGGTGGAAGATGTTCTTTTACATCACCATTCAGATTGTTTACTTTTCAGTACTATACATTCATGTAAAATTACAAAAATCCTACTTCAAAAAATATAGAGAAGTATAAAACAAATCCCCTTGGAGAACAAATTTCACAAGGATTTTAATCAACAAATGCTTCTTCAATAATGTAAAAAAAAGATATGGAAATGGGGTTTAAATGAATACAAACCAATAAACAAATCTAAAAAGGCAGCAGGTAATTGTGGGCCAGGAAATATTTGCCCAAATGACTCCAAGGCTGTTTTGCTATTGTAGGGGCTGAGGGCTGTTTATCCACTCTGAACCAAGGTGCAGAATACGTTATCGCTTCCGAAGGTAGACACAGGAGACAGCGTAGAGGTCTCAGGAGGTCCAAAAGGACAGAGATGCAGGCTGAGCTTGTCTGCGAAGGTGAGTTCTGCACACATAAATGAAGGTTTAGAATGATTCAGAGCCCCGGGTGTGCAGGTTTGTCCTCCTTCTGCCTACCAATATGGGATTTGTCACACCCTGATTGGCCCTCAGGGTTTCACCCAGCTGTTCTCAATCACTGCTGAGGAGTCCCTTGTACTTTATATGCTCTTTTGTATTTTAATGTAAAATCAAAATCTGAAAAGTAACTTCTGGAAGAAGTAGAGTATTTACCTCTGAAATGTGGTGAAGTAGAAGTTTAATATCACTTATTGAACACACCTGCTAAAACATCAACATGTTAACAAGCGTGTTAGCATGCTCGCAAGAAATACAAATGTGACAGCACAAAACAGCAACACTTTCATAGGTCATTTATTCATATTAAGTGCTGAAAATAAATACAAAACATTTTTGGAACACATCTGGTAAAGTGACAAAGACCTGCTCCAGTCAAGCTTTGCTCATCAGAAAATGTTTCAATTTGCTTTTCCAGCTTTAGCTGCAGTGTGGAACTACTTTTTTTTTTTTTAAACTCAGGTAGAACGTGTTTAAGCAAACTTCATCAAGCGCAATGGATTAATTTATCCATTTCCAAATAATTAACAACACCCTTCCACTTCTAACCAGGGAGTAAAGACTGCAGCGACTTCAAATCATTTACAAAACGGTTTCATTGTGAGTGTATTCAATCCAGAGCCCTCCAGCAGGGAGGGAAGTGCTTACCTGTGGCATGAACAAATATAAAATATGAGCAAGCACTGAAACAATGGCACACAATGTTATATGGATGACTCATGAACACATATTTCACAAGTGCATTGCCATAAAATGTTTGTAACTTCCAATTAACCAGACGGAGAAAAGATTTCCTGTATTAATTCCAGTTCAACTTTAGCCATTAAAATATTTAACACCAGATCAGCATCTAAGTGCTATGGCAACCAGGAGTCTAAACTAACTATTAGTAGCACATTCACACATAACACATTAATAAACAAATCTGATGAGCGTAAAAACATGCACTCTGATACTCTATACACAAGTAAATTAGCTGGAAACCTGCATATTCCTGGATTAATTACAAGGGCCATTAGCGATTAGCTCTGTTAGCTGAGACACAGCTGTGTATTGGAGTACTGAAGGCCTGTGTGTTGTCAGTATGTCCTGTAGAAGGCACTGGCACTCTTTCTGATACTACCTAAAAGGAGACTGTACTGCAAGAGACACTCAACGCTAACACATATGTTCTAACACTAAGACTTAACGTCAACATTAGTTATTAAATGGAAACGCATGTGGAAGAAAATGTGGACAAGATGGAGAGGTAAGTGAAGAAGGTACTCCGAAAGAGGAGTAAAAAAACAAACAACAACTGGGAGGAGCGTACTGAGGGCAGCCATTGGAGACATGAGCAGCAGTCCATTAACGTCCATGAAGGGCAGAGATCAGAGTGTGTTTAGTCCCATTAGAGGAAGTGTGTTTTCAGTCATCTTCTATGTAAAGCTGCACTCAAAGGAATAGGTAAGCATTTATATTTGTATCTTACACAAACACAAGTAGCAAATGGATATTTGTGTGTGTGTTGAACATTCACCTATGTTTCTGAAGAAATCTGAAAAGGCATGAACAAATATAAAATTATATGTATGTTGCTGTGTCGCTCAGTCATCCACTCCTATGTTGCGGAACAGATAGGACATGGACTCTCCGTTGTGGATGCGGCGGATGGCCTCCGACAGGATCATGCTGATGTCGACTGTTTTGATCTTTGGACACTGCAGCTTCTGGAGCTCGTGAGGAATCGTGTTGGTCACCACCACCTGGGGGGAGCGCATGCATAAGTACAGTCTGACATCCGAATATTGTTAAATACATTTTTTACTCTACTATTATAGTAGTAATAATAATAATAATAATAATAATAATAATAAGTACACACTCACCTCATCAATAGCAGACTCCTCTATGAATCTAGGGGCCTCGCAGGAGAGGATGCCGTGTGTTGCCATAACGTAGATCTTGTAGGCCCCTCTCTCCTTCAGCGTCTCTGCTGCCGCCACAAAACTGTCAACATCGTCGATGATGTCATCCTATGGGACAAACAGACCCATCTCAAAAGAGCTAAACAACTCTTAGCTCTAGCGTGGAACCCTCTACTGAGAACATGCACAAACACGTTTGTCTGTTGTGCTCATTCATTAAGCTTTTAATAAGAGCTGAGATTGTTCCTTTCTGCAGTAGCTACAAGTCCTTACAAGTAGCGCCGTTACTAGTTTAACTACATTTCTCAGTAGCTTGGTGGTAGCGTCGCTATTTTATGAATCAAATAGCTTTTCAGTAACGAAGCTCTTTTATTGACCGAGTAGCGCTCTAGCTTCCACACACGCTACATTTTCCCAAGCATTTCTGAAGGATCAGTGAGTGACGCCACCGCCACACAAGGACCTGTATGTGCAGCCGGCAGAAGCGCTTCCTGTGACATCATGTACCGATCCTTGGGCTGATGCCTGCAACTCTGCTGCAGGGGAGTAAAGACGCGCGATTGTGTTTACTTTCTATTGTGATAGTTATTGTAACACCTCTTGTGAGAAGGATCAGGGTCCAGCCTGGACAGCTCTTCCTCTACTTTGATATGTAGCTGTAGCTCTCTCTCTCTCTGTCTGTCTCTGTCTCTGTCTCTAATTAAGTTACTTTATACAAACAACAATGGTTCTCTGTTTGTTGCATGAGGAAATACATTTATCTGCAATGATATGGCAATATCATAGCTCTCTCTCTCAGTCTTTTTTCAGTCTTTCTTCTATTGCTACTGTGGAATGAAGTTAGTTCAATATAAACTAGGCCTCCACACACACATATATATATAAAATATTACAACATTAAAAGTATCATAGATGTAACTAAGCTAGTTTTGCCACGTTGTTGTAGCTTAGTTTGCTACATTTCACTGGGGGGTAGCTTCTGGGTAGTGAAGCTTCATTTCATGTCATGTCAAGCTATTTGTTCATTTTCCAAGTAGCTTGCCCAACACTGCACCCACCATCTAATGGGTAAAAAAATGCTCAGATGCTAAAGATGTATTCCACGTAACGATGAGAGTCTACACTGCCAGAATTCTACAAGAAGGGACGAAACACACTCTGTAGCGCTGTTTTCAGCTACTGTAGAAACATGGAAGCGTAACATGGCGACGTCCATGTAAGGAGGACCTGCGGTTATGTAGATAGAAACGGCTCATTCTAAAGGTAATAAAAACATAACGGCTCATAACGTGAGGTCTTTATACACCACTGAAAGTTGTGGATCTTATATTGCATTTCTGTAGATAGATCCTCAGAAATATTACACACTGGACCTTTAAGAAATTGGAGGACGCCGTGGTCGGAGTGCGATTGTTGTATATCGTAGGTTTTATGATAATAACAGAGTTGGAAAAGACACGTTTAAATCATTATATTAGGCCGATTGAAGAAGAACACGTAATAACGCGTTGTTTTAGGTCCGCTACTGGAAAAACTCTCATCCCGTCTGCTCTCCTTGGATCCGTCTAATATATTTCCGTATTCTGCTCTGGACCTGCTCAGTTCAGTCTCTCAGGTAGGTAACCTACAGTTCCAACCTGCTCTACACAGCAGCCACCAACTTGGTAATTATTCCTGTTTTATCTAACTCCTCATTCTCTTAGTCCTGCACTTGGGTCTACTAGCCTAGACATAACACACTTAAAAACAAAGTGCTGATAATAATAACTTGTTGTTTCAGCCTACGCTGTGAGAATAGGGGCGCTTTTAAACAAACACACACACGCGCGCAGATTATATTGAGTATTGATAAGCTCTGATGCGCAAACTTGGCTACTAGCCTATTGCTGTCTGTATGTAGTCTAACTGTTCAGTGTAGTTTGCCACTTATGTCATTTTGTTTTTCAAATTATTGTTAACTTAGCTGCTGGCTGAGACTAACCAGCCTCCCAATACCAATCAACGTACATTCACGTCACTCGGATTTCCTCTAAAAAAGTCCTGAGAAGTATGAAATCCCAGTTCGCGCAATGTGGACACAACAGATGGGGATGGTTCCTCCATAGAGCTATGAAAAAGTTCAGCGAAAACACCTTTGAACAATTAGGTCTCTTTAGTTACCATTCTCTTGTATGTGCGCTAAGTGGGTGTCATTTTTGGACTTATGCTCCCTGCATTCAAGAATTTCTTTTCTAAAGCATCTTCACATGTATTTGAAGGACAGTCAGTTGAATTTTCAATATTTCCATGCTGAGCTGCAGTCAGTACATCTGTACAGTAGTCAACAGAAGCACAATAAAAGGTAAGGTAATTGAGTTTATTTCTTCTGTTTGTTATCTCATGAGAGAGACATTGGACATTTCGGCTGGCGATGGAGCAGTGGATAAGACACATGCCTTGATGCCACTCTGAGCAAGATACTTAACCCCTAGTAGCTCCAGAGGCGTGCAACATCTGACATTAAGTAAGTCACTTTAGAGAAAGTGTCAGCTAAATGAATAAATGTAATCGGTCGTTTATTGTGTGCATGTCACAGTATGTTATTATGTAAAATTACTATAATAATAGTAATTTTACATAATACAGAAAGATATATCCACACAGCAAAACCATGTGTTAAAAAACCAATCTGTTTGCTCTCACCACTATGATGGCGATACGTCCTCCTACATCTCCTACCACGGTGATGGGAGGCTTCTCTTTAGGGATCAACACTAGGAACAGAAACAATGAGAGAAATAGTGAGAACTGCTCTACTTACATTATTAAGACGCAACCCTTCTCTATGTCATGTATTATTAAAAAAATATCAGTGTGTGAGCGTCTGTATATCTACCTACACATAGCATATTGGGTTACAGGATTTATCGTTGTTAGTGTGTGTGAGTGCTTGCCTTACATGGTATCTCCATGCTGGGGTGAATGGCTCCGGTGGTTTTGACGGTGGGCGGGGAGTGTCGGCCGTCTACCTGGTCTGACTCTGCATCCTGAGCTTCACCGTGGATCACTGCTATACCCAGGCGCAGCCGCTCGGCAAATGATTGAGCCCTGCACGCGCACACACACACACAAAAATTTAAATACTATGGCTACCCTCCTTACCTTAAATACTTACAATGCCCGTTCATCTAAAGCCTTAAGGGTTAACAGGAAGTAGTACATCCATTCAATAAAACAGTTACTGTATAATATATGAAAAGTTCTGACTTTGGCACCGCCCGGTGGTGGTATCAAAAAAAGACAGACATCATTCTGCTAAATAAATCCAGTTTTGGACCTGAATTTCTTCAGGGAAGGAAAGACTGGTGAGAGGGAGAACAACGTAGGCTCACGATTAACATGTTCCTTTACACAGCTATATCATGAGTTACAGCTGTGCACAGTTCAAAGTGATCCCATGAATATAGCGAGTGAAGAGATCCTACCGTTTGGCAGAGGCTGGGGATTTGGCCACAATCACAGCATTTCTGTAGTCAGGGATCTGGAGGGTTGTGGAAAATAAAGATAGTAATTAATTTCACGTTTGCATTCGATTGACCGTTTGCTAAACCATTCTCCCAAACAGGAATTGTACAAATATAGCTTAACAACTAACAATGTTAGCATGTCCAGCTAACTAGCTTACCACAACTCAGCATTTCACTTCATATACAGTAATGTGTGGTTACAGGTAACCTTAAAGTAAAAGAAAAAAAAAAACCTTCCTGACTAACAGATCCAGCTTGTCGCAAGTAAGCAGCTCTTAGATTTGGGGAAGAAACCCCAGCCAAACTTGTTATCCGGGCTAGCTTTACTTTATTTGTATTGTATTTGTACTTTATTTATTTGGCAAACACACATACATTTGGTGTGTGCTCATCCTAAAGCCCAAATCTAACCTCTGTCCTGCGGTATATAGCCCCAAACAGGGTAATGTTGGAACTAAATAACTAGTGAGCTTGTATTATTTACTTATCATACTGATACTGGCACTAACTCGGTCCACACTGAAGTACAGAAACAATGCAGTTTCATGTCATCTACATGGATCATCAGCTGGTGAGGATGCAGACTTTTTTCCTGGGACAGCAGACGATGAGCCTGCTCATCCGCCTCGGCCAGAAATCAAGCACCCGCTGCTTCACTGGTCAATCTGCCACTGTTAACATTGTTAACTGCATATGTGGCGTGTCAACAACTCAACAGGCGTAGCAACCATAACTAAAGGGGGCGGGGCTTAGAGAATGGTCAATTGAGTGACGAAGGTATGACTGTAGATTCATCAGTGACAACAGTATGAGCCTCCCAGAGTTAAAGGTAAGAAAACTCATTCGAAGATCCTTTAATATGCAAATCACGTTGTGTTTTTACCTCTTCCTGTATGTACTGCAGCAGGAAGGGGGAGGCTCTCAGGTTGTCCACTGGAATGTTGAAGAAGCCCTGAATCTCTTTCTGATGGAGGTCCATGGTGATCAGGTGGGTGAGACCTGCGCAAACATGGTCAGTTTGAGTGCGTTAACGACTGCAGTTCTTATAGTCCTATTTTACCGATTCACTTTTGCATGGAATGTCAAATGTCCTGTTAACACAATCTTACAATATGTGCTGTTGTAAGCAAATAGAAACATACTAGAAATGACCACCGGTTTCTGACTATTCCCACTTCCCCTCCTCCAGTTTTGTGCTGTAATCGTCACCAACTTACCAGCTTTACACATCATAGAGGCAATAAGCTTGGAGACGATGGAGCCCCTCTTCCTCATCTTACACTGCTTGCTGTAGGGGAAATAAGGGAGGACGCCCGTGATGCTTCTGGCGCAGGATGTTCTGCACGCGTACACCATGATCAGCATCTCCATTATGGTGGTGTTCACGTCCCTGATGCAGCCGAGGGGACGGAGACAAAAGGGAGAGGGGGACGACATTGACAAAGCTCGTGACATGAGTCACATGCTTCAGGGGGAAAACGGTGTTGAAATTTTCAATTGTGTGTGTGTGTGTGTGTTCCTTCTTACTTAGACACCGTCTGGATCACAAAGACATCTTTGCCTCGCACCGACTCTTGGATCTGTACCCTCGTTTCTATGGAAACAAATAGGATGTGAGAATAAGACAGCAACAAGTAAGCCTGTGCACACTCCTACCTCATAAAGCCTGCAAGGCCTGTCGGCTTCATTAGAGGGCTATCTGAGCCCTTCGTGCCTTTCACACAGATGACCCCGCAACCCCCAGAACCCCCCGGTGAGAAACTGTAGATACTAGCATTCCAAAAATGTGCCTCCCACAGAAGAGAGATTAGAAAACAAAACACTTCCTAGGCAGAGCCAAATGTCCAGCAGAGGGACACACAGACAGAGGGAACAGAGTCACCTGCCATCAACCCACGTGGTTTGTAAGCCAAGAAACTTAATATTTACCGTGGGGAATATTGCTCTTATCTTAGTACACCTCTACTACTACTACTACTACTACTACTACACAGTTAATATAATGCCGACTAGCGCAGGCTACTTGATGATCACAGACATTCTGCATTTTGCCCTTTAACTACAAAATGTTTACATTCTTCTGCACATTCTGACTTTTTTTGACAGATTGTCTATCTTTCAGAGGGTTTTTCATTTCAGTGTTCCATGAAAATCAGCTTGCCTGTATTTGAGAACAGCTCAAGATATGTGATCTACTACACTGAATAATTGCTCTTTGTTTTGTCTGACTTGCATCAGCATTGTGTGATAAAGCGGGCGCGACTGTTTGGTACATCTTCATGAGAATCGGTAGATAGGCAGGTGGATGCAAATGCATTGTTCTAAACAGCTATACTGTCAGTAAATCATGTATACAAAAGAAATGATAAATCTTTGTGGTAAAGACAAAGTCCAGTTTGTAATTTCTTGGACATGAGTGGAGTAGGTGTGTCGTGCACATACAGCTGGACTCACAAGACATCACAAATACTGCAGCAGCAGTGAAACATTCATCAGAAAAATGAAGATTCTCAGTCATCCAGGTCATAGTTATCCAACGAAGGTTAAAGTCAAGGGCAACTGGACTTGGTTGAAGATACTGCAATACCAGTATATTCAACCAAGCCCAGTTGCCCTTGACTTTAACCTTCGTTGGATTCATCAGAAAAGAAAATCACTTCTTACATATGACATTACATTACAAAACACAGAACTATTATGACTCCTCCCCACACTCCCAATTTTTTTATGTATAACCCAGTCAGAAAGAGTCACATTTTACTAATGTAACCACAAAATGATTTTATAATGAGCAATACAACAGAAATAATTTGTCTTAAGCCTCACCTAATTTACATAACAAACACAGTCTTTCCTCTTCAGGGAAACCATTAAGCATTCCTGGTTTTGTAGCTAAACTGTATAAACAGAGATAGATCTTTGACTTTCGGTGAGTGCTGACACTGCACGTTATGATACGATAAGCTTCCTCGCTATTGTGGCTAGCATTAGTGACAGCTCTTGCTATTGTTCTGACTGAACTGCACAAAAAAACATTCAACAGCCTCCTGCAGCACAAAATCCACTGTTTGTAATTTAGGCTGGTGCCAAACATCAGACAGACAACCTTTCTTTATTCACTTTTTTTGTTTGTTTGTTTGTTTTTTTTTAACCGTAGTGATCAAACTGAAAGCTTATGTAATACTTCTGAACACTTTCAGATAGCCTGTTATTTAAGACTCAGTGTTCAATCTTATCGAAGTCTCTGGACATGTACAATCAATATTTCTGCATTCAGAGCTGGAAAAGGCTACAGTGTCATATTATGTTATGTAACAGGCTTAAGGTTCAAAGAACTACTTTACACACAATTCACTATTTACCAGTTAACCTGGTGACATGCGCAGGGAGTAATCATTTATCAGTGTCTGCCTATAGTGTGGCATACAGCCACTGCTCTGTAGAGTGATGTTTTAATTAAACTGTTAATTAATAATGTGTGACTGGCATTGATTGTGATTCAAAAGGCTATTGAGTTGTTGTTTTTTTTACTAAAATTTAATTATTAGTGTGATGGATTAATTACATAGCCAGCAAGTGCTACAAGACAAGACAAGACATCACTGTGCTGTATTATTTCTTTAACTTTGCAAGGTTTCTGATACTGTTGAATTACACTGTCTTGGTTCTTGATCATGCTCAGACGTGGTTTCATATTAGTCTGATAGAACACAGACAATCCGTACCAATAATCTCATGCGACTTCCCTTTTGATAACCGATGGTGTTTCTGTCTGTGCCAGGGCCATTATTTACAATACAATTTAAACAAAACTATTATTCCAACAAAGGCTTATAATTAATCTGCCGATTATTTTCTCGATTGATTGATTAAAAGATTCTATTTAGAAAATGTCAAAAATGTTAAAATGGGTCCAAGGTTATGTCCTTAACTGTCTTGTTTGATCTAACCAACATTCAACAATAGATTGTCGCCATTGTTGTTTCAGCTCTACTTATAATATCCACTTTTATGCAGATGATAAAATCCTGTGTGCATGCATCTCCAGCTCAAGTCTAGATCACAGTCTGCCCTTCTTTGGCCATCTCTGTGCAGAACCTCAACCTTGTACTGAATGCTGACAAAATTGCAGCGATTGGGCCAGCTCCAATAACCTGGTGGTGCTCGGAAGTGCTCCTGATTGTGTGGGAATGGTGAGGTGGGGGGGTGGCAGTGGGGCTGCCGGAGGGGCCCCCGGCAAGGGCGGGGGGATTGTTGGGCTTTGGGTCGGGGCTACGCTGAGCTGCCTTGGCGGTGTGTGGGGGTCTGGGGCTTGGGGCTTTGGAACCTCTGGGTCTGCACGCTGGGGGGGCTGTCGCTGAATATGGGGTGCTGCTGGTGCTAGAGGGGCTCTTGCTATAAGCCCTGGGCTGGCTGGGCCCCCGTCCGGGGACGAGACCGGCCTCGGGTTTATGGGACTCGGGGGCTGCTGGCTCTGCCTGCACTCTGGGGAGGGATGCCTCTGGCTGGGCTGGGGGACTGTTGGCCTGGTTCTCCCGCGTTATCGCTCCCTGGCGGCGGGGAGCTTCCCGGCACGGCTTTCTGCTGTTCCTCCTCGGGGCGGGGCGCAGCTTCCCCCGGGACATGCGGTCTGGGGTCCTTTGCGCTTTGGGGGGTCGCGGGGTGCCCTGGCTACCAGGGGTGGGGGTCTCTGGGCGCTGCACGGGTTGATCCTGTTGCGGTTTGGAGGGCTGCGGTGGGATTATGGGGCAATTGTCGATGCATCTTGATGCATTGTGGGTTTTTTTTCCCCTTCCCCGTGCAGGGTCTCTGGATGGTTACTGGGCGTTTGGTTTGTGCATTGGAGTCCGGGGGAAGTATTTCCTCGTTGGCTTGGAGGGACCAGTTTGCGTCCCTGGTTTGCTTCGTTGGCCTCAAGTCGGCCAGTTGTTGGACCCCTCTGGATACTGAAGTATAAAGTTAGTTTTCGGGATGTGCAGAGTGGGTGCGGGGCAGGGCTGTGCTCCGGTTTATTCTGGGCTTGTGCCTGGACTTCTCGGCCCTTGACGAGTGGGTGGGTTGGTGGTGGCATGCAGCTGGGCTAGTTGATTTTGCCTCGTTACTGGTTTGGTTGGTGTTGCACGGCAGCCTGGGGGCATAGCGGATGTCGGCTGGCGCGGGCGTCCTTAGTTTTTCCGGCGGTTGGGGGGATGGCGGACTTTTATTGGCGGGTGCACGGTGACCTACGCAGCGCGTTTGCTGCCGGGCTGGGACTGCTGGTGTTTCTCTCCGCTGGCTTTCGCTGTTGTGTTCTGCCGCTCGCTCTCCCTCGCGCGCGGGATTCGCGGGGGGCTGCCGGACTTTGGGTGTCGGCGTGCTCGCGCAGTGCACGAGTTGGGCTCGTCACTTGTGCACTGATGTTGATGGCATCTGGGCGTTTTGGTTGTTCGCTGCGCGGCGGTGTGGTGCTGGGTGGGGGGGGGAGCACTGGTCTATGTTGTGTGCGCGCCACGGTCGGTCCGGGCGCTGCTCTTCTGCGGGTTACGCCTCTTGAGTTACGTTGGCATTGCGTTGTCAATTGGCATTTGGATGGTTGGATTTTTTTTTGTTTTGTTTTTTTGGGCGTCTGTTGGTAGGGTCAGGGTCTTCAGCGTTTGCATCGCGGTGCATCTGGGAGTCATATATTTATGTTTATTTATTATATTTTTTCTCTCCCACCCCTATTGGCTACTTGCCTGGCTGTTGCAGGCGTCAGTGTGGCACAGTCGTGGCGTCCCACTCTCACTAACAACTACATTCTTTAACAGGCTTATGCACACACACACACAGTTTTTCTCCTCCCCAAGCCCCCCTCTCTGTTCTATTGCAGGTTTCGTTGCTTTCTGCAATTGGCGTTTCCCCCTCCTATTCCCTGTTGTCCCCACCTTCCATTCCCCTTCTCTTGCAGGTGTTCTTTCTCCTTTCTATGTGCTGTCTGTTTGTGCCCCCCATCCCCACGTCTGCCCCCCTGTCCGGCCCGGTGACAAATCAATACATAATTAAATAAATAATAAAAAAGACAAAGGAGTATATTAATACTCTCTGGTTAAAGTAAAGTCTGTCTGGCACAATATGGTATCCAGCTCATCATACTCTATACCAGGCTACTGGGCAGGACAGGTTTAAAAAAAAAAAAAAAAAAAAAAGAAAAGTGCTGCGCCTGGTTAAAGCAGTGATTCCCCTGGAGAAGAACCTGGAGCTAAAAAAACTTGCCTACGACTATCTAAAATTTGTATTTTGGACAGAGATTTAGCTTTGTGGTTTGGAAATGGCTCATCACAGTGTACAAACACTTGAAGCAGCACAGAAATGTGACGCAAAAATCACGGAACACCAATGTCAAGACAGTAGCGGCAGCACCACATATCCTGTTTACTTTTTGTCCCCACACAACGCTAATATATTAGGATGATCAACACGAGGAAGGTGTTTCTATTTGCAGTTGTCATTTAAAATTGATTTTCTAAATGTTTCTTCATCGTCCCAAAGTTAAAAGTAACTTCTGCACCATTTCAAGCACTTCAGTAAAAATACTGATTCTCCAGTTCAGGAAAAGGCTTGAAGTACAGTGATTACATTAATCTCTGTATCATAGCAATCCTTTTGAATTGGAGGTCCAGTATTTTTCTGATCAGGCATCTTGCAAACAGGGACTATTATTATTATTAATATCTAAACACTGCAGTGACGTAGAATAATCAATACATTAGTCATAAGATTAATCAAAAAATTATTAAATTTTTTTAATGGTTAGGTGCAGCCCTATCTCTGTCTCAATCAGATTACCTTAGTAAAAAAAAAAAAGGTTATAATAAGAAACAAATCTACACGTGCAGGAGGAGTCGGCCCCTGTCAGACATCCTCTTACCTCTGTTAGCTTCCTGGTACACCTGCGCCTTGCCAAGCTCCACCCCTAACCGCCTGAGTAAGACAACGAGAGTAAGGAGAGAAAGAAAGCGAGAGAGTTTTATATGTTGATGCTTTGGCAACATTTCTCATTAAACAATTATTCTAATGAAGCCCTTTGAATTTAACCAAGAGCTTCAACTTTGGTTTTCAGAGTCAGAAAACCTTCAAAGGCACAACGGTTTGCTTCTACAAGTTATAGGGATGAAGTTTGTCTCCATTCATCCAGTGAGAAGGAACGCTAACAAAGCAACATTTGTTGTTACATTGTTAGCAGCATTTGATGTTACATTGTTAGCAGCATTTGATGTTACATTGCTTCTCTTGAGAAAACCTGACCTGCTCACTCAGCAGTCTCCCTCTCAACTGTTAACATGCTGTGTTTTCTATCTGGGCATTTAGTGCCCGATAAGCCCGCCATAGTACTCTATTTGTTCTAACAACATGCTCAGACTCCAATGTCCTTGAGGAGTCCAGGAGTGCACTGTGTGCATTTCAAATACTTTTGTGGTTTATTCAGGTTTTGTTTAAACACTTAACATCATGAAATACAGACGATGTTACCTTGCAACTAGAATTGTTTTTTTTTAAAAGGAGGCTAGTAACAAAATTTTATTGAATTCATATTCTTTTAGCTGCAGGGACGATTTTCTAAATGTGCAGATAGTTGCCATGACAGTACTTTTATTTCACTAATGAAGAGGTTTCATCTCAGTGTCCAATTTGCAGAAGCTTGGCTTGTGGGTCACTGATCGCTCAAAGGATTTGTCTCCATTGGAAGAGTCCAAATCTATCCTCTGCCTCTTCTTGGATCGAGGATTTGATGCCTTTTTTACGTTTAGAAAAAATTAAATACACATTGAGAGGTTCCGTGGATAACGTCCATAAGAGATGCTTTTCTGTAACTGCTTACGTTGAGTCACTTTCCTCCCTGAACTTGATCTAATAACTGGTAAATTTGTTTTACTTAAATTAGTTATTACAGTAATAATATTCTGGGGTTAATATGATTTGGGTCAAATGACTGTGTTTCAGTGGGTGGATGAAAAAACAAAACATGTAGGCCTATTTGTGCGGCATATAATGTTAATATAGAAGACTTAACATCTACAAAACCGGAGTTACCAGGTTTCCCGATTTTCTTTATATTCTGAATGTTGTTGAGTCAACAAGATAACTTATCATACACTGCCTCTGACTTTTTTTCATTTGACTAAGACGAAAAATATCCTTTCCAAGAAATTATTTTTCAAAGTCAATTGACTGTTTCATTACAGTCTCTTTGAAGTCTTTAGAAGTTCAGCTCCTGCTGTTGAGTGCTAGCTCAGTATTGTCAACACTGCACATGTTCATGCAGAACCAGCGACTCTGGTGGAAACATCTAAACTTAGCTTCCAGGAAACATAAGTGAAAAAGCCTGGTACATTGCATAAGAGGTTTCTATTTATCTGAGACCAAGAAGGTGACAGACCAGTGTTGACCTTTTTGCCTACATTACTGTGCTATTTTTGTCTGTGTGTGTAATGGCATGTATGCCTCCTGTACTCACTCTGCAATCCTCTTGCCCAGCTCGCGGCTAGAGGGGTGCGAGTTAGCGGTGAAGATGACCAGGCCGCCCTTGGTGTGGTTCATGTCTCCGGGGCCTCGACCGCTGCTCTCCCCACACTCAGGCAGTGGATCCCTGGGCACCCACGCTGCGCTGAGCCCTTCCTGCAGTGGGAGAGGGGAGGGGGAGAGATTTCTTCCTTTAAAATCAGTGTGTCTACTCTCGTAACTCAAGAAGAGGAGGAACAGGAGACACAGCTCAGCCCTTGAAGACTTAAGCCGCTGAACTGAGTTGTTTTCATAAGAGCAGCTTTCTCAGATAAAAGCATAATTAATATTGAAAGAGCTCTGTTTCTTCATGGCACACAAATCATGAAAGTTAACTGGAGTGGTTATCCATAAAACCTCTGTTGAAGCCACTTTTCTTCTTCGACCAGCACAGAATGTGAATGAGTTATTTATGAACTTCCTGAAAACAGCAAGGAGTTCTCCTTTCAGATTGAATGGCAGCATTGTCTTATGACACGATTGCAGCCGAATCCCTTTAATTTTAATGAAGTCTAAATCCAAGAAACACCCCAATCTTTGAGGAAGCTTTGCATTATTTTACAAACATTATGTGCCTCTCCTACACACCAGAGGAGAGGATGTCTTAACTCGTTTAAGAAAGTTATAGGTTGAATAAGGGCCATCAGCCTTGCAGCATTCTTCCAACTTCAACAATACTTTTCAAATGTACTTCAACATTTTTATCTTATGCACTTTCCTTTTAATACATGTTACTTTTGTTTGTACTGCTTTACAAATGTGCCGATTTGTGTATTGTTTAAATATGTTCTTTCATTTTCGGTTACTTGGTATCTCACTGTGCAGTCCGTTTAGCTTTTTGAAGCTGTGTGTGTGTTGTGGCTGGAAAAATATACTTCTTTTAAGGGTCCAGTGACAATAGGATAGGAGATATATGTCGTTCATTCCCAACTATCACAGTCACGGCATTAGCTTCCTCATGCTGCTAAGCTAGCAGGACAACACGAGATTTTTGGCGTTTACGATGCCGTAAGGTTATTTCTTTCAAGAATTAATGTGTTAAGAAGTTAAACCATGAGCTAAAAAAGCGGTTGCTGTGTTACTATACAAAAAAGACAAAAAGAGTCACATTAACGTCAGCTAATATTAATTGTGTGGCTGTGATCATGCGATAGCGTTAGCTAACGTTAACACAGAAGTACTAACGCGATAGTTCTCAAGAAATAATCTTGTGATGCTAACGTTTTAGCTGTCAATGCGCGAATTGATTCTTTTTTTCGCGCATTGGAAAGGAAATGTTTTTGCGTAGCAAATAGAAGACAGAGGAACGACTATCAAATTAAACAAAGAACAACACCCTCACCAGCTTGTGTGTTAGGTCCGGTTACAATCTGCAACCAACAGTATTTGAATGTACAAGCCTCCAGCTCCTGTCAACCTGTTCCCCTCACTCTAACTGCCTGCGAGATACAGTTTTGATGGACGTACAACTCGACCAATCACAGGCCAGGATAAGGATAAGGAGGGGCACTTAGGATGCATTCAATTCAATCTAGCTTTATTTGCATGAATATAAAACAACAATATTGTCAAAGCTACAAATAAATGACAAAAGAAAAAATAATTTTATACAATTCATTAATCACTATATAAAAGAAAGATGCATTCACGTGCTCTTAAAAAACGCCTAAATAATAATATCAGCAAGTAAGAACTGAATCATTATCGTCAGTACTGATTTCAGTTAGGTCAAAGGTTGGTCACTTAATTTCTAAATACAAACGCTATTTTTCAGGTTTTGTGTATGTGTTGTTTTCCCATCAGAGTTCAGTCACTAACTCTAATTTCAAATTACCACCAGATCCGCTGTCACGGAGGTTTGCTAGTTCACTCAATTTCTGGACATCATGAACTCAACCTTCTCATATTTCAAAAGTTAAAAGGCATCATATATATTTGAAAGCAGTGCTGTGCAACAAAGAGTTTTGTCTATTAGGTATTTCTTATTCTTCTTTTATTATATTTTAATGCTGATGTGATGATGACTATGATAATCTACTTATTTGGTAAAATAATATACAATCGTAGATGCATATCAGCCACTGCATGGTTTCTGTTAAAATAGACACAGAAAGACGTATGATTTTTCTTAACATTGCTCATTCTCACAGTGACTTAACAAAAATACTAAACAATGGAAGCCCTCCTCGGAGGTGTATGCTTTGTGACAGACCACTTGAGGGCAGTGTGTTTGTCTGGATGCTTCATGAAACACCCCTGCTCCTGTTATAACCGAAGTGTCTTTCAAGTTTCAAATGAAAATGGTTTCACAAAACAAAAAACAAAAAACTAAAAATATATATATATATATATAAATAATAATAATAATAAATATATATATGTGTGTGTATATATATATATACACACACTCTTCTGGACAGAGACCTCTGATGTTGTACCTGGAATATGCTGTAGCCACTCTCCTAGTTTGGGGGTCAGGGCTCCCAGTGCTCCAATTACCACTGGCACCACTGTTGCTTTTACTCTCCACATCTTTTCTAGCTCCTCTTTCAGCCCTTGGTATTTCTCAAGCTTCTCGTGTTCCTTCTTCTTGATGTTGCTGTCGCTTGGGATTGCCACATCTATCACTGCAGCCTTCTTCTGCTGATGTCTGGTTGGTTAGCCATCACCAGTTTGTCAGTCTGGATCTTGAAGTCCCACAGCATCTTATCTCGGTCCTTCTCAACTACCTTAGGAGTTGTGTTCCATGTTGACCTTGGGACTTCCAGCCCATACTCATGGCAGATGTTCCTGTACACTATGCCAGCTACCTGGTTATGGCGTTCCATGTAGGCACTTCCTGAATCCATCTTACACCCTGCTCTTATGTGCTGTACTGTCTCAGGGGCATCCTTGCACAGTCTGCACCTGGAGTCCTGCCTGGTGTATATAAAATACAATATACATATATATATTATTTTCCCTTTAACTACACACAGTCAGAACAGTCATTCTAATGCCTTAATTAGATATCAACATCAGTCATGATGACTCATTACAGACAGAGATACTTTTGGTCTGAAATGGAAAGAGATGGCGTACATAAATCTTCTTTGGTCGTGAGAACTATCCATTCAGTTGGCAAAATATTTACTAAAATATTATTAAAATAGTTTTCTTACACCAACGCCACTAATACCATCAATTAAATATGCACCTGAACATTTCTTTGTCTACTGTTCCTTTATCTTTTTCTTTCTTTTATCTGATTCAAAAATTAAAGTTGTCCATGTCTCTTGTAGCATTGCAGGTTCTCAGATTTGCTTCATCTCAAACAGTCCCTGTCTTGTTTGCTTCTGTGTTTGATTTATTGATTGATCGTGTGATAAAATGTGTGCAATCGTGGCCACACGCACACATTTCTCATTTTTCTTTGAACCCTGAGCCAGCAGCCATGCAAGTGTATAGCCTGCTTCTGCTGAATGACTGAAGCTAAGCAGGTTTGGGATTGGCTCACACCTTGATGGGAGACCCCCTGGGAAAAGCTAAGTTGCTGCTGGAATAGGTGTTGGTGGGCCAGTAGGAGGAAGTCCTCCCTCTATCCCTAGTATTAAGGGCCCAATACCACAGTGATGGGGACACTGTGATGTAGGATAAACAGTTAAAACGAGCTCTTGACTCACTGTGGTCATTAAAGAACCCATGGAACTAATCATCCCCCACAGTAATTTGCTCAATGTTTCCCTCCTTCTCCGCCTATAGCTGATGTGTGGTGAGTGTTCTGGTGCAAAATGGCTGCCGCGCATCACCCAGGTGGGTGCTACACATTAGTGGTGGTTGAGATTAGTCCTCCCCGCTTCACTCTAAAGCACCTTGAGTTTCTATGATAAATCGCTATACAAATGTAATACATTATCATTATTATTATTAAAAATGACCATACTGGTAAAGAAATCACTCCATCTATTACCGTATACCACACACAACAAACACACAGACAGAGAGAGGAAGACAACAGGACTCTCTTTGGGTGTAATATGACACGGCTAAATGGCTCATGTTTCCTCCCTTGCACATGTATTGAATCCTGTCTTAAACTAACTGTTCCTGTATACCAACAAAACCAGAAGACAGACAGTGAAGATGGAGAGGGGGGTGGGGTGGTGCAGGTAAACTCTCTAAAATTACGCACGTATCAAGCTTCAGTGTGGTGAGCTTCTTTTTGCATTAACAGATAGTTTATAAATACTCTCTCACTACCATATGGGCTACTCTTCAGTGTTCTTACATAACTCACTGGATATGTGGAGGAGGCAGAGAGCAGCATCCAAGCACTGCACACTGCCCACACACGCACACACACACAATGGAGAGGAGAGTGGAGTTAAAAATCTGGAGGAGGTTGGACAGAGAAAGAAGGCGAAGAAGTTAGATGTTGCAATTAGAAGACAGGGTCAAATTCACTCATATCTGCTCTTCACTCTCCAGTTGTCTTTGTGACCACAGCATATGTACATTCACTGTGTATGCAGCTATACAGGGTTGTGGAGTGACTAAATTCTTGAAAAGGCAAAAATGTTCCAAATATAAAAACTTAGTGTATTTATATTTATGGAAATTTAAAGGAAAAGTTTGATATTTTGGAAAATACACTTATCTGCTTTGTTGCCTAAACTTAAGTGGTTTTCTTGCCTACTTTCCACTGGTCATGTTGTTTTGGACCTTATTGGCAATCGCCCTATTCTGTCGTTCAGGTATTCTTGGACTCGCTGGTGTGGACAGGGCCAAAAGAAAAACAAACAAAAATGATAAGGTTACAAAATCTTTCAGAAATTAGCAACTGAACTGCACACTTACTGCGATTTACTTTAACACACTGATTCCTTTTTGGTGGAATACCCGATGGAAGAGTTTTTTCTTCGTGGGGAAATGTTTTTCCAATTAGCCATTTAACAACAGCATTATGTACAGGAACTCAATGTGAGACTGTACAGGCAGATCTAAGTCTAAGATCCACTTCTATGCCACTAAATATTGTTGCATAGTCAAGCAAAGTCCTTTCATGGGAGTGAAAGGCTGATGGGAATGGTGTCAGTTCTGCCTATTACAGGCCCTATTTGGTCATAGACAATTTAGGGTGAAGAGATCACCAAATAATTTAAACCAACTGTAAATAAACAGTGTAGGCTATGACTAGCCGTCTTTTTAAACAGCTCCACTAAAAGACACTGGATTTAGGGATGGTAGCCTAATGATTTTTTGTCCCACCACTTTGGTCCAGACTGAAATATCTGAACAACTTTTGGATGTAATGCCATGACAACTTGTTAAAGTATCCATGGACATATCCTAATAATGATATTTAGCACCACCATGAAGCTGACCTTGGGGTTTTTGAGAAATGAGTTAATGTTGGCATGAAATTTGGCACACACATTCAGAATAGGAATGAATTGTCATAACTGTGATCCCCTTTCATGTAGCATCAGAATCATACAATAGCCGACTGTAGTTTTTTAGTCTATGCAAGCTAGCATGCTAAACTTAGATCATATCAGCATGTTAAAATTGTAATTCTGAGTATGTAAGCCTACGTCCTCATTGAGCCACATGGCTGTAGACTCATATTGTTTTCCTCTTAGCTACTCAGATTTATGGCTTGTGTGATATGATACAGGCCTAGTAACCTATTAGCCTGTTGCTGCTATGAGCAGTGCCATAGGAAATAAGGGGAGGGGGTCAGCTCTTTCAGGGGAAGTAGAATTCCTAGTTACATTTACCTTTTAGACAGTGGTAGGTGTGTCTTTATAAAATGTGATATAGGACCAAGCGTTTGTATGAAACACTTAAATCACTTACATGCCATTCACTGTACGCTGACATCACTTGGGGTTAAAGCTATGATGTAAGTGCAGCTAATCCAGCCTATAAACCACAGGCCATCGAGCCTCAAAGAAGAACACATTATTTATTCGCTTTGTCTGTGCCTTCCTTGGCACTGAATAAATCTCTGCAGCTTCTCTATAAAGCAAAGAGAGAGGGACATATAAACAGAGCCAGGGAGAGATGAAAAAGGAGGCGGGAGAGCACCGCGCTCCTGGTCCGCCCCCAAGTTGCAGCGCGAGCCATTTAGCTGTGCGAGCTGGGCCAGCTGTAGAGCGCGCGGGTGCGTGTGCGTGCCCCCCTCAGTAGGCTACCCCTGCCCCCACGCGGAGAAAATCATTGCCAAATACAGAGCTCGGGTGCACGCGGAGTGATGGCTGCAGCAGCAGCAGCAGCAGCAGCCCTGGATTGTTTTTACGACGCAGAGCACGAGAGCGGCACCACCTCAGGAGAAACGGACACCGCGTGCACCGATTTTTAAACGCACAATCACATACAGTGTCTACGAGTGAACCCGCGAGGCTACATCAGTGCGTTTGACGTCTCCTTCAGCGAGGATCGCTGCCTCCCGCTCGGTTAATCGTTGCTGCGGAGCGCAGCTGCAAGGGAGACAGATCAGCCCCGAGCCGCTATCACAGATGAGGAGCGCGAGCAAACCGTGGAAACGAGACCATTCAGCTCCACCGTCAAATTATCACGCACGCGACGCCAGCGCTGGAATCTAGATCGGCCCAGTGGCCCCAGTCCAGTGGCGCTGCACTTAGCGGGGGGGGGGGGACCCGAGAGCATCCCTCCATCCCACTCTCTCTTTCTGCCTGTCTCACCCCATCATATGCCAGAGCTGTAGGGGGTCTCATCTAGTCGGGGACCAGGGGGGAAGGAGGGAGGCTGTTCGGTGGACGCACCCTCCGCGTGGTGAGGCTGGGCTGAAGCGCCGCTGTTTCGGAGGATGCTGCGGGAGTAGAGCGGCTCAGAGCGGAAGATGGGGAAGGACCAGGAACTGCTGCAGGCGGTGAAGACCGAGGACCTGCTCACCGTGCAGAAGCTGCTGCAAAGGCCCCGGCCAGGGAAAGCAAGTAAGGACACTCTATTCAGTTTTATTTTATTATTTTCTATTGCACGCGCTACATAAAAGATAGTGACACAGCTGTGGCACTTTATTGACTCTATTGAAGGCTATTTCTGGCGTACCATCGCTGGCTGTTTGCTACTATTTGGTCTTACTGATGATAATGATGTTGTCTATGTGTGTAGCCTACATGTATGTGTGTAGGTATGTGTATGATCCAGAGAGGAAAATGGAGAGATGAAGAGAGAGAGAGAGAGAGAGAGAGAGAGAAAGAGAGGGGAGGGATTGTATGCACCAGGGTGTATCAATGAAGATTATTGGTGTGATTGGAGACTGACAGCCCATCTTGAGACCCCTGTCTGAGTGCACTGCAGCAGAGAGAGAGAGAGAGAGAGAGAGAGGGAGAGAGAGCGGGAGGAGGTGGGAGTGGGAGAGATATAGGGAGGGAAAGAGTTGTGTTTTTGGAGGAGGGATGTGTGTGACCCTGTCTCAGTAGTGTGAGATGATACTAGTAGCCTTGTGATGGTTAAGGTCCAACATCATCTTCAGTGATAAACACAACACAGGGGCATAACAGATTCAGCATTCGGATACATGAGTGGTTAAACCTTGTGTGTGTGTGTGTGTGTAAAGTGAGGAGTAAAAGTGGACTTCTATTCTATTCCCCTTCTACTGGTATGTATGACTATCTATCTAATTATTTATTTTCTGCAGGCAATGTAGCACTTCACCATCCAACAATGTTTCACTTCCCCAGCCCACTCTAATGTGTGGGCAATGCAGGGCGAAGCCAGAGAGAGCTGCAGATAGATTATTCTGTAGCGGCTGCTAGCTGCCATATGGATACTTCTACTGATAAATACAATTATCAACAGATAGGGACGGATGCTATAGGGGCACAACTGCATGGATTCCAGTTTCTGCAGACAAATGTTCAAATGTTTAAGCTTTAACACAGTAATTCAGTTTTCATATGCAATTCTTTTAAAAAGCATCCCATGTGATTGACTCACCTCACCATCTAATTGCTAAACAGTTCAAGTCAGGCAGGTTTGTAGCATCTGACCTGGTGCTGACCCTGGGAAGGCTCCAAGCAGCAGGTGGGCCTCATTTTAATAAAAAGGAGCCGCCGTTGATGACAAACAAAGGCCCAGAATTGCGTCTTTCTTGCGTGGGATGACTTTTAATCACAAAGCAAAATCAGAGCATCATTCTTATTTTAAACATTGCATATTTCAACATAAACCCTGAACCTGCCACCCACACAAGTGTTGTCAGCTACTATGGGCTGTTATGGGCTTTTAATTGAAACCTTTATGTATCCATTAAGTGTTTCCATGCAGGCTCAATTCTGGTGTCTTGGTCTAGCTGAAATCTTTAATCCATTTTCTGTGATTTCATTTTTCCAAAATTTGAGTAAGGGTAGAAAAAACACAGAAGACGATTGAAAGCAATCTCAGCTCTGTAGCAGAGAATAGATTTTATGCATTTTATGACTCTGCTATTGATTGCTTGCTTTAATACATATCTGGGTGAAACTGGCAAGTGAATTTGACATAATGAGGGAAGACAATACTTTTGATTTGGACTTGTTTTGTACTAAGCTAACTTGTACGCTCCTATGCCACAGATGGCAAAGCTTACTCTGCAGGACTCAGCAAAGTACAGCACATGGCCTCAAAACAGTTTGTAGGAATCAGCGGGGTGCACTGCATGCCGACAGGCGCGGAACCAAAGTCTGCAGGCTACAGTGGAGCAGAGCACATATACAGGAATATAGTCCGCAGCCTGTCTTGTGCAAAATACAGACATACCTTGACTATAAAGAGTTTGTAGGATCTGCCATATTCAGGTAGTACCCAAAATAGTGTCTGTTGAACTAAGTGGACCACATTATGTACAAGAGCACATCACAAAATAGCCTTTAAGCTACAGTAGAGTGCTCTTCAGCTGGAAGCCCCTCTCAGACTAGTGTTTAGTACACAAAATACAGAGGACAGGCAAGCCCTCAAACTAGTTTTTCACGGTAATAGCCAGTTGCTTGCAGCACACACAGGTGGGCACCAACTTGTGCAAGTTACAAGTGGATTGCACTGCAAAGACATGGCGACTAAAGCAATTTAAAGCAGATTCTGCAGGTGAATGAGGCTGTAGCCTGCCTATACATGCTGCTTATTGGCACAAAGAAGGTGCCCTCTGTTTATTGTAATCCATACATTGTAATAGTAATTGTTGCATATACTTCAACAATGTTGCAGTTTTTTTACTACACATATACACTACATTTATTTCTAGTTGCTTAAGATTTTATGTAAAAACATATGACGCGCTTATAAAACACAATGCTGTGTTAAGCCCAGTCTTTTCAAATGCAACGTTGTGTGGCCATCAGTCACCTCACAACCTCTCAGATTTATCTTGTGACCCTGACCCTGACCTCTATGTTTGAAACCACTGGACTAAACTCTATATAGTTACAGTATAACTCCCCCCACTCAAGCCGTTTGAATACCTTTTAGCTGATAAAAAACAACATTTTTGTTTGAGTGTAGTAAGTTGAGGTTTTAAGCACTGGTTGATCTCCAGAGGAATTACCTTTTTACGAGCTGCTTTCTTTAAAAGAAAAACTAGCAGAAAATACAGTTAAACAGCTAACTGAAGAAATAAAATGTAAAACAATTGACATAACAAGAGACTGACAAAAGCAGTGTTGATCGCAGGATGTGTTCCATTGTCAGGTACTCCTGCTGCATTGTCCACTCTCTGTGTACACAGGCGAGAAGGATGCAGGCAGATATGTTGGACAATCAGTCACTCAAGTGGCATCTGATGGCACAGGCTGCCATAACTCCTCAATAAACACTTTATCATTCGTTATTATTGTCACTATGAAATATTACACTTATGCGTGGTTTGAAGGGCTGTCTAGTCTAACTGAAGGTGTTTAAACGCAGGATCAAGGTCCATCCCAGCTCGGCTCAACGGTGAACGTTATCATTTGTATAATTGAAAGCTAACCCTGCCACAAAACCGCTTCGTGCTAACTGTTTGACATGCTTTGTGAAATGTCATTTGTGGACGTGAAAAGCAAAATAAACCACGTTTCTCTCCGTTCTGGAAAAGCTGAGTGTTTTTGGGGAACTGCCTGCAAAGTGTCTGCAGGACGCCAATATTACATGAGGCGGACTTTGGGCCATTCTTTCAGCATGAAAACAAACAAACAGGTCAGGTAGAAGCAGCCAGGCAATAACGACAGAGTGCATCTGAGAGTCCCAGACAAACAGCAGGGAAGTGTAACGCTAGGCTGATGTTAACACAGACCTGTTTGTCATCTAGCATTAAACACAAAACTCACAGGACAGCTGTGTGTGTGTGTGTGTGTGTGTGTGTGTAGTTAGGAGCGAAATGTGTGTGTGTTTTGTGGTGGTAATGAGTGCATGTGTGGCTGGATTGTGGGTGCACAGAGGTAAGATTGGTTTTGATGTGTGTGTGTAATGGGCCTGGCAGAGGCTCTGCCCTGCTGCAACTCATTTACTCCTTCTCAGGCCAGACATACAGTCTGCACACATTCACCTGCATCACAGAAGCACACACATTCACAGAACTACACACACATGCAGACACATCTGGCACCATCTGGAGAGTCATCATCAGTTTGCTGTCACTCAACGTCCCTTCTGCACATGGCACTAGATGAGGTCATGAGTGTGTGTGTGTGTGTGTGTGTTTGCGTACACATGGAGCAGACCTTGAGTGTGACCTGAGGTCTGTGTTTGTTAACGGGCTGTTTCAGTGTTTATGTGTCAAGGCAGGTGGTGCTCTCTGTATTGATGGTTGTTTATTGTGTGTCATTAAAGGTTTCATTTGCCTGTGTGTCTGTTGCATCAGTGAAATGATTAGCATTCAACCTCTGGCACAATGTTTACTGCCATGAGAGACCGACACATGCTGTCATCGCTACACAATGCTATCTGCCTCCTTCCTTTTCTTTCTTTGAAGCCAGGAGAGATGTTAATGCTCACAGACCATTCTAGATAACCCCCCCCCCCCCTTTCTGTGCAAGGCTGGCAGAGGACTAGAGCAGATGATTGCATCCACACCAGTGCACATTCACAAAGGAGCAGGCAGGCAGGCAGGCAGAGAGGAAGCTTCACATACTGTCACCCAGAGTCTTCATATTGGTTAACTGTGCTGTCTGCAACTATATGCTTCAGTGAGAGAATCTGGTGTGAAGTAGCTTGTTTTTTTGAGCTGGTGCACTTATTTTTAAGTATTCGCCATAGTGCCCAGGATGTTAGCTTTCTGTGAGCTGTTCTAAATTGCTGAAATAAAACAAAAAGTCATGTATTACTGCAGCATTTTCATGTTTTAGCTTCGATTAAGGGATTACATGTTTATGTGTGCATTCAGAAACTTAAGAACCAAATGGATAAATGTAAAAAACACAAAGTGGTTTAAGCAAGCTTGTTTTATTTCCTATTGAAATGTCTGCCCCCTAACAGCCAAATCCAGTGGGTTAGTGGCATTTCTGATCCTTTAGCGTTGCACATTCATAAAGTAAAGGGACTTGCATAAAAAACAAACAAAAAAGCAAATGGCGAAGGATTAGAGACCAAGCTATCTTGTTTTCTGTCAAATATTTGAAGTCTCAAGCTCAACTCAAGTTATTTGCTCAAAGTTTAGAAAGCTCCCTCCAGAGCCCCAGAAGACATCGAAGAATTATCAGATGATAATTTGTTTTCACAGTGTGAATAGTACTGATGAGTAAACTGAACCCTGTGTAAAATGCAAAGAAGTGCATCTTTAAACCTGTAATAACAGATTTTTTGGCCACTTGGGGGTAGCAGAAACAAGCTGTGAACACAAAACAAGGTGCGTTCAAGATGACTTAACTGACTTTTGCGGGGGCAGGGAATAAAACTGCGGTCGCTGGAGCGACACTCCTGCGAGGTTTTAATGTGAGGTTACACAGTGACGTTTTGCAGTCGGACAAAATTTCTAACCGGC